CAAGCAAGATTCCACCATTGCCTAGGTTGACATTATGGATAATACAGTCCTATACATAATCTCAGTATATTTTGATTTCTAATACATGTGTTGTTATGTATTTTTCGAATGTCAGTTGCAAAAATTGAAGTGGGGTGATTCTCACGTTGAAGTTCCATTTTAAGTACTTCAACTACTCTGAAAATTTACCAGGCGATATGTACAACCAACTCTTTTATTAATATCATGTAAAATTATCCTGCATTCACTGAAGAGGAAATAATGATACAGTGCTCCTCCACATTTTCAACAAAACATGCGTAATTTTTCAAACTTCAAACAAAGAATTTCGAGGTCGCCGGATAGGATGAAGTTGTACAACTTAGTGGCCTCCTCGGTCATCCGACTTGAGTCCTTCTTATTTTTTGTTGGGTCACATAATGACTGTATTGCACTTCACCTACTCACCGTGAGACCTGTGTGGACAAAACATTAGTGTATGTCGCGAAGTAATAAGTGGGTACTCCAAAATATGCGATAACGGTTTGGAAATGAAAGTCACGATTCAAAGTTTGACCTCTTCTATTCTTAGCAAGAAATGGTGATAACGACCTCCTCTCGAAGATATCATTAATGGAAACGAAAGAAAACTCAATGATAAAAGAAGGTCCTAACGGCGGTCAGTTGTAAAGATGATCGAATGAAAAATCGCTGTCTACCTAGCTCTCTGCAGCTTTGACAGCAATCAGGCAACCAGAAAAATAACAAAAAAATGTTTACACAATTTATTTTTCAATTAATCAAGATTTCTATCGTTTAGGGAAAATCAACTGGGTTTTGTTATTCTCTCGAAGTTTGATATATAAGAAAATTCATGCACGTTGTGAAACTCTCATTCTTTTGAAATATCAGTATTTCAGGAGGAATCTATTTCACTTTTTTTTGATAATCATAAAGTCAATTCCTAACCTCAATTCCTTACAAAAGAAAATCAGAATCAGGCAACTTACTTTTTTACCATTTACGAAAAACACCAGAGTGCTTGTCTCTTTTTCCGAAAATATCACCATTTTTTTGAGAAGAATTTTCAATTGCACAACAAACTTGACACTCGCTGGGTATTTCTATAAGTTATAACTATTGCGGTCGCAGCACATAAACTCGAACTACGTTAACTTTCGAATAGTCATGTGATATCAAAACAATTCCCCACATATGCTGAGAAAGATTAAACTTTTATTATTTTGATCCGAAACATCACATCATATCAAATAACACCCAGAATAAACACTGAAGTGCTTCAATGCATGAATATGTGATATACTGTTTGCTAAGGATTTTTGATAAGGTATCTAAACGTGTTTTTTGACCAATTGAAATAAATTTCGATAAAATAAATAAATTATCACATAAGCGTAGTACTTTCAAAATTATCATGGAAATGAAATCAGGTTAGTCGATGGTGTAGTTGATTCTTGCAAACGAATTTGACGACACGAACTTTTCCAATACAAAAAAGCGAAATCAATCGCTTTTCCAGCATGTAAATCGGCACTGAATAGACGTGTGTGTAGAGAGCTCTCAATTATAATCATACTACTTGAGTGTTTCAAGATGTATAAGTGGGACCATAAGTCCTACGACCCAGATAAGTGCATAGTGCAGGTGCTGAAATGGTAATAACATGGAAAATAGCAGAAGAAATTGAATCCGCAGTATACTCTTAGTTTTTATGATGCACTGTTTGGAACCTTTGGTGTAGTAATGAATATTACTGGAGTCTTTTCCCAACACCAAATCGTTATCTTTAACACCTCGACACGTGTTTCGAACACCAAGTGATCATTTCAAAGAGGAAGATTAAAACTAGAAACTAATGCGAGCTAGCCCTATTTATGCTATATAGGTATCCCATACAGGTAAACCATCTAGGCGTACCACTTATACAGGTATACCAACCTAAATTAATTTTACAATTTTGCCTTATCTATTATTTTACAATATATGTTTATATAAAACAATTTTCAGCTATATAAAAATTAATTTCACAATATTGCCTATCCAAATTTATTTTTGCAATGTGTCCTTATGTAGTAATCAGTAAACCCAACAACATTATTTTATTTTAACAAGCTATATAGTATACTCTTTGGTATAGGTCCGTCATCGTTATTCATAATATTATTGTGTTTTCTTATTTCTACACTCTCATAGGCATCTAGTTGCCTGTTGTTGTTAACTTGTCTAACTAATCTTAATGAACTGAAGTCTATGGAATAGTTTTGTTGCAAAAAATAATGGGCGATTGCTGATTTTTCAGGTCTTCCATATTTTAAGTATGCTATGTGATCCTTATATCTTACTTTAATAGATCTTTTTGTCTGTCCATAATATTTTGCATCGCAGTCCTTACATTTAATTTCGTATATTCCAGACTTTTCCGAATTCTTGACTTTGTCTTTTGGACTTCCCAAAAGGCTCTGTAGTGTATGACTTGTTTTAAAAACCACCTTCATACCTAGTTCCTTGAAAGATTTTCAAGGAAAGTTGAATTGAACTGAATCTCTCCTGGTGCCTTTGCAAGAGTCTACGTTAGGTCAATTAGATTCTGTCAGTTCGTAAGAAATCCATTGTTGTCTGCAAATACCACATACAAATCTCAAAGAAGAATTGTTTTCAATATACCTATACTATTGTGAGATTATTTTTGTTGTTTGAGAGGATCATTACTTCCAAATCCGCAGAAGAAAACCTCATGGGCTAATTGTGATTTCCTTTTCATAACACTCCAACAACAGGTCCATTGCTGTTTTTCTCCTATGATCCAGTGACTCACATTCATATAAAATATGACGAGCTGTCTTATCACATTGTTGCATTGTCTGCAGCTGAAGTACCCATTATACAACCGTATTTTGTGCAGGTATACGCTAAAAGGGCAGTATCCAGTGAGTAGCCCTGTAATTAGTCTGAGTCGATCCCTGCTCTGTTTAAGTAGTTCTTTGGTTCCAGTGTGTTTCTATATTCCATATTCGTCATAATTCTCATTGATCCATTTCCTGATCTGGTTCCTTAACATGGATTTTCGTACCTCCACAACTGGTTCAGGTCCCATATACGATTGTGGAGTTGATGTTAAATGTCTAACACACTCAACATCTTTTTCTCTGTTCTAATTCCTGGCACTTTGTACAGAGTAAATTTCTCAGGTACAGCAGTTCCTTCAATCCATAAAAGATTTGACATAATAGATTAATACACTTTTTCCTTCAGGCCTTCTTGTACATTGAAGACTGCATTTAATTCTGCCTGGAAGACGAACGGTTAGGCCGGGTAGGCCTGTACCATTGAGTATAGCTGTAGCCTGAGTATACATCTTGTCTGGTTTCAGCCCCGTAAATGCGCTGGAAAGCATTTGCGGAATTGACGTGTATGTTCATCATACGTCTTCTATAGAAGAGTTGGTCGAAAACGCATTACATCCTATTATACTCGAGAAATCTAAAAAATTATTTGATACCGCCTATGAGCATTCAATCTCAATTACCTTCAACAACGTGTGGTTCTGTTATTCCCTAACTGAATGGCATCCCAACAATGGCTTGATCCTAAGGTGTGTGTATCCCTGCCGAGAGGAGGAATGACACTGATCCTATCAGCTGTCTCTACGGAACCTTCGAGATACCGGGCGCCCTCTCGTCGTAGCATCGTGTTGTCACGATAATGCGGGGCTCTGCTGTGATTGATCTTCTTTCCCTAGCTACTCGTGGGACTTTTATGGATAGAGTAAACTTAAAAATTCTTTTTGACGCTGAGTCTATAGAAGAGATGGATGTCGAGCTTACGACTCCAACTGACCTCCCTGTAAACTTAGATCAGGAGGAAGTCTACAGAGGAGATGGATGTCAAGTTTACGACTCCAACTCACCTCCCTGTAAACTTAGATCAGGAGGAAGTCTACAGAGGAGATGGATGTCAAGTTTACGAATCCAACTGACCTCCGTGTAAATTCAATTCAGGAGCGAGCCTACAGAGGACATGGATGTCGAGTTTACGACTCCAACGGACCTCTCTGTAAATTCAGTTCAGGAGCGAGTCTATAGAGAAGATGGATGTCGAGTTCACGACTCCAAAGGACCACCCTGTAAGTTTAGTTCAGGAGCGAGTCTACAGAGGAGATGGATATCGAGTTTACGACTCCAACTGACCTCCCTGTGAATTTAGTTCAGGACCGAGAGCTTCTCAACTCCCCAACTCCTGACCCAATAACTGATCCTCAAAAAAAGGTTTGGTGGTGCAGCCAGGAAACGACTGAGTTGTCTTCTCAAGAGCGGGGTACCTTATAAAACCGCCTTGCACCAAATTCTTGAGCGGCGTACGCAGAATCTGTCTCAGGTGGGGGAACAAACCCCCCATGAGCAGGTTAGCAAACGTTTGCGCTCAAGTGATGATTCACCAAAACCAGAGGCGAAAAAGCCCTGCATGTAAGGCATCGTCAGGTTTAGCTGACGTGCAAAAACCCTCATATGGGAAGGTTGCCGTGGGTATCAAGGTGGAAATTTTGCAACTTGACTATTCGACTACCTCATTAACAGAGCACATACTTCGTGCCTGCCCCGCTAGAGGCCGAATCAGGTTTTCATAGTTTGGCAGAGCCGTACTCTCACCATCTGACCTGAAAGACCACTCACCATACAAACTAATCGGCTTCGTTGAGAAGCTGGGTTTATTTGGCCGAGTGTGAATAGGTGTGAGCCACAATAAACCCTTGCGGGTTGCGGTGGAGGGTAGAATAGACCCACTCACTTTGAACCTAACCTAACTTAACCTACCTTCAACAATTTTTTTTATTCATTTGAAAAACCTAAAGATGCCATTAAATGTGGAATATACATCGTTCAAATGTCCGCTATGGCTTCTCTGGGCGGAGCGCATCCGAAACGTCCAATTTTCCATGACTTTGGCGCATAAATCAGGCTGAATTTGACCGATTGCAAGAGTTATGTTGGCTTGAAGAGAGGCTGCGGTTTGTGGCTTATTTGCATACATCTGCGAGTTAAGAAAACCCCACAAGAAAAAGTCTAACTGCGTCAAATCGCACGATCTCGGTGGCCAGTTTATATTACCCCATGTGAGATGACCATGCTCTCAAATGGTTCGTTCTGAATATCCAATGTGGCATGAGCTGTTAGGCACGTAGCACCGTTCTGTTCAAACCAAATATCGTTGGTGTCAAAATCATCCAATTCAGGCCAACAGGGGATGGTAATTGTGAAACTAAAGTTAAATTACTGGGCATTACATTAGATAATAGACTCAACTGGTCTGCACATATTTCTCAACTGAAGAGAAAACTCTCGGGTTCACTATTCGTTCAATTGAAGTACCTACTTCACTAGTGCAAATATATTAAAAACCTCATATTTTTCACTGTTTCACTATCATATTAGTTATGGTGTACAACTTTGGGAAAATTCATGCCATTCCATTCAAATATTTAGGATGCAAAAGAAGGCATTGAGAGTGCTGGCTAATATTGGATTCAGGGATCACTGTCAAGAATATTTAAAAAAACTTAGAATTATGCCATTGCCAACTTTATTTCTTCATTACGTTTTGATTGAAATCCATAAGAAGAAACCATCCTTGGCGAAACCAGTAAATCTAGTCCAGAAAAAGTATCCTTATGATAAAAATCCAACCTATCTTGCGTACAGAGCGGCAGAAATCATAGTGTTATATGTTATATAAATAACTGAAATAAGTCTGCCCTAGCTTTCTATTTTGTAACCTTCAGAGTAGCCCCCCTCAGCGTTTTTTTTTCCAATCCTCGAAGCAATTCTGATATGCACTCGAGATCTCTCAGCGATTCGATTTTCATCTCCTCAATCGTCACATCATCCTTTCATAGATTTTTTCAATCTTGGGAACGGAAAAAGTCGCAGGTTGGCGAAGCTGGTGAATATGGTGGCTGAAGCATGATTACGGTGTTGTTTTAGGCCAAAAAATTACGAGCAAGCAATGACCAGTGAGTAGGTGCATTATCGTGATTCAAAAGCAGTTATTTGTTTTTCCACAATGCCGGATGTTTTCTTCGCATTGTTTTTCGCAAGCGGCGAATAACTTCAAGATAATAATCCTTGTTGACCGTACGATCATGTGGCAAGGACTCTTGATGCACAACGCCACGCTAATCAAAGAAAATAGTGAGCAAAACTTTGACATTCGATCGAACTTTGCGTGCTTTTTTTGGTCTCTCCTGATTCGTCACCAGTTTTTATGACCCTTTTAATCAAATCTGGAGCGCCGTTGACGACATTCAACAATTCCTGAGCGATGCTCATACAACGGTTTTTTGATAAAAATTCAGCAATTTCGGAATAAACTTTGCTGCCACACGCTTTATGTCCAAGATTTTTGAAAAAATTGCCTGGCTTGAGCTTACCGATATGCTGATATCCCAAGCAAGATTCCACGATTCTCCATAACAATTTTCTTCACTTTCTCAACATTTTCATCGGTTGATGATGTGCCGGGGCGTCCAGGGTGAGCGTCGTCATTCACATCTTCTTTCATAGCTGAGTATAGTTCATTGCAAAACACAAATAATCTAGGACAAAATAAGAATCTGGTGCAACCAGATGAAACTAATTTTTTGGGAAGCATATGCCTCGATTCGCATATCTCCTGAAAGAAATTGCAACAGCAGCGATATAGCAACATAGTACTAGTCATATATATTAAAATGGATGTTTGTTGGTTGGTTGGTAAGTGATAAACTTCAACATCGCACAACCGATCGTGATGAAACTTGACATGTATAAGAAACTTTTCATAGAGAAGGTTTTTAGGCTATCAATTTTTCTGTAACTTGCCACTAGATGGCACTGTAGAACAATTTTTTGAAAGCACTGTTCTATAACGCTGCGCACGCCTGAGTTCGTTGATTCTGATTCTGTCAAAACTAGTTACCTATAAATGAAAATATAGATTACTTCTCACTTTGTGGGAAATCTGATGAATTACTTGTTCCAGAATTACTAGTATTAGAGTATACAACCACATTTCTTGGGAGTTGAAGAAAATGAACAATATCATTTGTCAATTTTATATTTAACGAATGATAATAATCGAAACTGTATGTCTGTATTAATGAAATGTGTTCTAATATGTTAGTTTATTGCAAATGAAATCTATTTGTAGAATAATTTCGAAATGATCCCTGACCTTTTGGTAAATATCACTGTACATAAAGTGGAAGTCAAAAGTTGATTCAGGATAATACATATTCAGAATGACTTCATTAATTGATGTTAAATTTTTTTTATTTGCATCAAATTCTATTATTCGAACAAGTGAAGTAAGTTTGGTTTTATCATAAGAAAGGTTTTGGCTTCTTCGTCTTCATACAAAAAAAATGTGGTAATCTTTCAAAGAAAGGAAGAAAGTATTCAATTTAAAACAAATTACCCTAAACAAAGATCATGCAAAGAAGTGATTTTCAGACACAAACTGGTAAAAAAACACTGCATTATACAAAACACTTTTATCCATTCAGTTTGTATGTCAAACATTCATTATGGAATTGAATCAGATGTCATTCACAGGATTACTACACACAATGTAGTAAATGAAAGAAGAAAATTTCACTTACATGGAACACTGTCATCCTCACTGGTGGACATCCGATTTTTCGGAGTGAGACATGCCTTATTGTCTGTTCAGCGCCAATTTGGATAACATTATAAGGTGAAGTACTCCAAAAATTCATTATGAAAATTCAATATGTATTGAAAACTAAATATTCTAGACATAACACAGATATGTAGACCAACCTCCCTCTCCACTTCATTAATTAAACTCGTCCTTATTTATACTTTTTAAAAACTCAAAATCAATGCAGAGAGGAAGTTTTTTCATAGAATAATGAAATGAATTTGATTACAGAAATAGATACGATCAAACGTAAATTTGGAAGTTTCAAAAGAAAATTGAAGAAAATTGAAGTTATTATTGTATCTATTTGACACATGGCGGAGTGGCAATATATAAGAATAATGAATGTCAACTGTCTCTATATAAGTTAGATCTGAATGATATCTCTGTAGAAGGATTACTGATCTCAAACTATTTTCAGAATGTTTTGCAAATATGTTGGAAAAAGTTGTTTCTCATTATAAAACTATTGTTATTGAAGGTGATTTTAATATTAATTTCTTGGAATATAGTAATGGCAGGACACTCTTTGAGGATTTGCTGGGATGTAATGATATAGCAGTAACAATAAGGTCTCCAACTAGAGTGACTGCAATTTCTAGTACTTGTATAGATACTATTTTTATACGCTCCAATATAAATGACTGGTGATCAGACGAATTCTCAGAAAATAATACTCTGAAGTTTCTGAATCAATTGGAAGATGAACAATGGGAGAATATTTACACTGAAAATGATATCAATAATGCCTGGAACAAATTTCTTAATATCATTAGTGAATTGATAGATTCCTGTTTGCCTATTAAAAAAATATCCATTAATGAAATAGGTGAAAAGAGAATTTGGTTTAACGAGGAGTTTCTGCATTTAAAGCAGCAATTAACTCTCAACTCTTCTGAAATCTTTCCTGCGAAATATTTATTTATGGCTACTGGGTCAGTACAAAAAACAAACGATATGATTTTAGATATAAGTATTCAGTTTATCAGATCATTGAGATGGCCACATGTGAAATGTAATTGAAACTAATCAAACTAAAAAATAAATAAATATACTTATTCTACTAATCTAAACTAATTTTCCGAAGACTCTGAGGATGAAGACGAAACATCAGAAGAGCCGTGTCTGAATCTTGATGCTAGATTACTGGCGAGCCGACTGATTCCGTATCTATAACAAAAAATGTTGGTGATTATTGAAACATTATTATTTTATTCTGGCAGTAGGTAAATTGTAAAAGGAAAAATACCTAGCATGTCTAGCTAATAACTTAAGTATTTCCAGAACACCTCATTGGTCTACTATGAGATTATTGGTGATTATGGTTAAAAAAATTGTCTTGACTTGTAATGAGCCTTGTCTTGTATGAAAGAGAAAACGATATATGTTTTCAACTTTTCCTCAGAGACCCAACTTGAGATTTACACTTGCTCCTAAAGACGAAAATTTCTTAGAAGGATATTCATTTCCCTGATGTATATTTACATGGTCCATAGTGAATTAATGAACTTAATGTAATCATGATATTTATTCACTACTGGTCTTAAAGTTGAGATTTGTTTTCTGTTTCTGGACGAAATATTTCAAAAAAACATTTAAATTTTTTCCATTAAAATATAATTCCCTTCAACAATGGTTTCATTAACTTAGCAAAGTTTACAATATATGACGAATTGGTAACTGCAAATCTTCTTCTCGATTATAGGTATATTTGAAATTCTTTAGAAAGTTTCTATTATATTACACATTTAAAAACGGTATCGAACAAATTTACTGAAAGAGTTAATAGAAGTGAGGCTAATCATCAAATTAGATGATACAAAAAAGATATGTTGAATATTTTTCAGATTTATATGATTTCATTTAATATTTGTGAAACATGAACTCAGTTTCAAGCAACAGACTATAGGTGCACTGCAGAACCACCTTGCATAACTGGGAAAGAACTCCAGAGTAACAGAAACAGCATCAGAGACAGATTTGCCAAATCACCAGGAGCTGGAGATAGAAATCAAATGGATGCTGATAGGAATATTAATCTGAAGGCAAGCTGTTATTTGGAATACATAGGATTGATGGCTGATTATCATATGTATATATTCGTTATCCTCGTAGCAGACCAATGCCATATCCACTATTTACTAGAGTGAACTCGCAGATCATATTGAACAAATAGTAGAATCGCTGTCATTGATGGGAAATCCTCGTTGTTTCGGTAAGACAAAAATGATCCTTTAACAAAAGATTTGACCACTTTCTTTCGAGCTAATTGATTTGAATGACATACAAAAATACAGAAAGATATATAAGACCTTTGAAAGTACTGAATTTTTAAGCTGTGGCGTGTTACAAACGTTGATGATGATGCTGAGGGAACTGGAATTTATAAGAAAAGGGTTAAAAAAGTTTAAATTTTTCAGTTTTTCAGACACTTTGAATTTAATTGTAAAATTTCCATTCAGGATGTAGTTTTCAACCGTCTACTCACTTTAAGATACTTCAAACATGAATTTCAACTGAGTCACATTTAGGATTACTATGAATCTTTCGAAAGTTTTCAAAAAAATGAGACTTTCACTTACAAAAACACAACACGCGTTTCGACATGCAATGGCTTCTTCGGGCGTGTCTTTACTTAGTACTTTTCTGAGGACAAAACACAAGCACTACAGGAAAATTATTAAGGCATTCTCAGAGCGGTGCCTGCGCGAAAGTAGCGATTTATATTGGATTTGAATCGCTGGAGATTAAATCCATTTGGAAAAACGTTCTCAAGAAGTTTATTCCACATAAACGCAGTTCTCCAGATGAAAAAGTTCTTGAACAGTAAAGTTTGAGGTGTACTGAGTTGAATCTCAAAACGATGAGCAGCAACAGTCCGTCTCGTGAAAGTATCTATAGAAGAGAGACAAATCTCCAACCTTTCTTCAATATTCCAGACATCACGTGCACGTGATGTTCACGTCTCCAATCAGGCAGATGACTCTTTTCTGGATGGAATCCAGCAACTTCAGAGTATGTTTGGGGGTAGAGCTCATATACATGAGAACAATACTTCAAAGAAGGTCTGATCTGAGCTTTATAAAGCATCAAAAGTTGCTGAGGTGTGTATAGTTTTCTAGTTCGGAACAGTGTTCCAACTTTTGAGAAGCAGCCTTTGCAATTCCAGCGATATGATTGTGCCAAGACATATTGGTGCTCATTTTAAAACGTTCTCAAGAAGTTTATTCCACATAAACGCAGTTCTCCAGATGAAAAGTTCTTGAACAGTAAAGTTTGAGGTGTACTGAGTTGAATCTCAAAACGATGAGCAGTAACAGTCCGCCTCGTGAAAGTATCTATAGAAGAGAGACAAATCTCCAACCTTTCTTCAATATTCCAGGCTATCAAGGTTGCACGTGATGTTCACGTCTCCAATCAGGCAGATGGCTCTTTTCTGGATGGAATCCAGTAACTTCAGAGTATGTTTGGGGGTAGAGCTCATATACATGAGAACAATACTCCAAAGAAGGTCTGATCTGAGCTTTATAAAGCATCAAAAGTTGCTGAGGTGTGTACAGTTTTCAAGTTCGGAACAGTGTTCCAACTTTTGAGAAGCAGCCTTTGCAATTCCAGCGATATGATTGTGCCAAGACATATTGGTGTCCAATAAACTTATCGAAACACATCTGACCTGACATTATTATATTCGGTTCGGTTTTGGGTTTTGTGGCATTAAAATATGCATCCTCATGCTGCCGGTGAAAATGTGCCTCCGAAGCCGATGTCCTGGAATCCAAATGGAATGATGACCAGACAAGTGTGCTGTCGTCAGCAAAGCAATATATTAGATTTTTGTTTTTTTCCAATGAGTCGTTGATATACAATAAAAAGAGGGTTGGAGACAATATGGATCCCTGGGGAACACCAGCGTTGATGGTGAAAGTGTTTGAGAGATATCCATCGACGGCCACTTGCAGGAAACGTTCTTCCAGAAAGCTGAAGAGCCATACACAAAAATGATCCGACAAGACGAAGTTTGGCCAGCAAACCCTCATGCGACACACGGTCAAAGGCCTTTGAAATATCAATAGCTCTTGATTCTCCATGTTTCTTCTCGATTGCGTTATTCCAAATATGGATGACGTACGATGGAAGGTCGCCAGTTGATTTTTGTTTCCGAAAGCCATATTGATGATCGCTCAAGATGTTGAAGCCTTTCAAATATTCGAGGATATGGTGGTTTACGACTTTCTCCATGATTTTTTATATCACTGACAGCAAAGCGACATTACTCAGGAAAGACACACCCGAAGGAGCCATTGAATGACGAAATACGTGTTGTGATTTTGTAAAACTGTTTAGTAAAAATCTCACAATGAAGTGTTTTTTGAATACGTTAAGTATGGATTTTCATCAAGTATCGACCAATTCCAATCAGTTTGTAATTTTCAGAATATTAAATGTTGAACATACCAATTGTTATTTCTTTCATTCTTATACATATATTCAGCATTAAAGCATCACTACAATCTAATTTCTGGTTGACTAACCATTCTTTGCTATCTAACCTGAGCCAATAGTTGCTTTATTTGAAAAAGGAACGCAAGAACTACTTGCGAACTGTTGTTGTTGAAAAATTTTTATTTTTACCTTTAGTCCTCTTTCGTTATGTTCAAAATCGAAATTGTTGAATAAACTGTTTGTTGAATGAACTCATAGCACAGTATATCAACTGTATCTGACGGTGAGGTTGATTTTATAAAATTGTAGAGACGTAAATAATACTGAAATGTTTTCAGAATTTTAATATTTCAGAAGCCGAGAAGGGCTTCTAAAAAATCAAAATTCAAAATAGATCGGGTTTTGAACAAGGGGCCTAGTAATAAAAATCAATGTCAATTCAACAAGTTGAATCAAGAAAATATTTGCAAATAAAATTTGTAAATATTTCTCACAAAATTCCAACATTGTATGATCTGGCAAATCCCTGTCGTAAACCAACTGCTGTACCGGCTAATACCACGGAGGATATTGAAAAATGGAAATTCTCGCAGATGTTTGTTGTGGTTACCTACAGCCGGTTTCGGAGTATTACGCCTCGTCAGCGCAGGATATATATCCAACCAAAACAGTAGTGCGTCCGGGACTCGATATAAAACAGATCCCATCTCAGATTGATTGCTGTCTTGATAGAATCTGTTCAGCACTGACGAGGAGTAGTACTCCTAGACCGACCGACTGATTTCAGCGATGTCCTGCTGCTATATTCTGCTTTGTGAGAAAACTTGAAGAATTGTGTGTAGTATATAATGTCCATCGTGGTATTAGTCGGAGAAGTAGTTGTTTTCTGGCAGGCATTCACCATGTCCTACTGTGCTGTAGCGTTGGGAGAGGTGAATATTTCGAAATAATGATCGCTGGCAAAGTGGTGGCAGTGGCAAAGCCTATTTTGATCTCAAAAATTTGTTTTAAAAATATCCACACTTACTGCAGATGCGGAGAGGAGTTTCCGGGTCGTCGGACTCGTCTGCACCTTCCCCTCTTATCCCTCGAGAAACCAGAAGCACATCGCTTCAATTGCAAAATCTCGCCTTGAGGCAAGTTTTCACTGGGTTCATGGACATCTTCCCCAGGCACTATTCCTACACTGACAGGGGTTTCAATAATTTGTACTTTTATCTTACCAGGTGCGCTGTATTCATCTTTTCTTAGAGTTTTTGGTGTAGTAGTAGAAGAGCCAGTATCTTTAGAAGGCTCGTTGCTTTGACTTTCGGTGGAAACCGAACTTTCTTCGGTTTTCGTGGGTTCCTTTTCTTTTGAGCTCTCTGTGCTTGGAGAGACAATCGGGTAGGGGTGATTAGACGGTTTGACAGTTGAGGATGGATTGTCCCCAACGGGAGTGCTAGAAGGAAACGCCGATGTTGAAGATGAGGATATAGAAGCAGTTTCTGTTGGCTTTTGTGTGGCTGGTTTCACGGTGAAATCTGAATAATCATAATCGTAATCGTAATCCTGAAAATAAAAAAAGGAGATATATGGCGAGTCAAAACAGAGATGTCTGGTGTTAATTATAAATGCGTTGTGTTTGGCCTTCCATTTCTAATATTTGAAAATTGAGTTCTTTGTCTATACCATAGATGGCGTCTTCGTAAGGGAGGATGTCATCGCCCTTCTTTACTCAAGCTTGTCCTTCAAGAACAGTCGAGTCCAGCAATGCATTTATGATTCAGCCTAGCACCACTGATTAGACCTATGACTGGTCGAAACAACAATGTCTGGTATTGAATCATAAATGCGTTATATTTGGGCTCTGGTTTTCAAACTTATGCCTTGCAGTGGAAGATGTACTGAAAGGCAGGGACAGAATGTCTTCGGCGGTAAATGTAGAAGCTTGACTTAGCAATTGACCGTCTAGAAGAGCCTCGTTTATTTTCGAAAGGAAAGATGTCATTGCCCTTCTTTATTTGAAAGAGTATTGAACTTTCTAGGTGCATATGTAGGGATCATAGTTTTCCATATAAGTAAATGATGTCTGTTTCAATTCCATAATGATGTTTGGAGTACCAACTTATTGGGAAAAAGTAATTTTCGTAATTCAATGTTCACATGTTTGAAAGCAATTGTTTTAGGTGAGCTTTTGCTTCCAGTTTGTAAAAAACTTCTGTGTATGATACATTAATACATCTTTCTAGAGAGTTTACTTCGAAGTTATTTCCTTTTTCCGGAAGTTTCTCTTGTTAACGTAATAAGATGGAGAAGTAGAAAGCCAAAAGGCTTTGTCCTAAAAATGTTCTCATTATTTTCGAAAACGACTGAGAACATTGTTACTCGGCATAGAACCAATTTCATTTATACTAAAAAGTTTTACAAAAACTTTGAATAAAATACTTGAGGGAAGTATAAAATTGAACCGACAGAGGAAAAATCGAAAAAAGATATTGCACAATATTTATTGCCCTAAAGTAAATTTATAACTTTGAGTTTTTCTGTGATCCTCACAGTTCAGAAAATTATGTCGAATTTAAAGAAAACTTAATTTCACTAATGGCCAGCAAGCAGATTAACAAACTCATTAGTGAAGCAACTAATGAAACATAGTTACTCCTAAATCTAATTTTGATAAAAATCACGATTGTAGAATATGAAAGTATCAACTTAATTTGCTTTATTTTCAGGTGGTGATAATTATTGGGTATCGGGGCGTGTAGTGACGGGAAGTACTAACAAAAAATGTCAATTGATCTAATGAACGACATGAAAGACATGTTGCTTGTAAACATTTCAAAACACATATTAAGAGAACTTTTATTGTACTTGGGCATGAAAACCTTCTGTTGTACTGGCAATACTTGTCTATACTGCCATACCATACTCCACATAACACATTATTCGTGATTTAAAAAAAAAGGGAAATGTTAAATTCATCCTGTTTATATCCACAGTTTTGGAAATCTCTGATTGAGAATCGCAGAATTTTCAAATTTAGCCAATCCTAAAAATTACACAGGTCATAGCAACAACGGTATTTGCTGACAATGGTGGAAACATCACAAATTTGAAGAGACAAGGTAGCTGGAAGTCCACCAATGTTGCTGAAGGATATACAGACAATTCACTTACAAACTTAAAATTGCCAAGACCATTCAAAAATTATCAGATGAAAACAAATCAATATGAAACGGAAACCTTGTTCTGTCTTCAACAAAAAGAATTCAAATATACCAAGCATTACAAACAAATTGAATTCCTTCAATATTAACAATTGCTGGAATTGTCTTATAAATAATAATATTAATAAGAATGGGAATGTTTCTGTTAGTGCCGATCTGTACGAATTTCAATTTTCAATATTAATAAGAATGAAAATTTTCCAAATTTTGTTCTTCAAAAAAAATATAATGATGGAATGTGTCTCATGGATTTGTTATTCTACACGGTTGCCGAAACTTTTTCGTAAGGACTTCTTTTTATTTCGATATCGATTTTGCAAAAACTAAATCTTTATTTAAAAAATTGTTTAGAAAATTTCAATATTTTCCTGAAGTAAACTGATTCAATTATTTCTGTATAAGAAAGAGTGAAAAAATATATCGGGAACTTACCCCCAGGGAGCTGGCCTCGTCCGACAGCACCGCAATTATCTGAAAATCTTTCAGATGCAATTGGATGTTGTAATCTCCCGTCTGCTTCTGATCATACAGGGTGTGGGGTGAATGATGATCACTCTTCTTCGACTTGGGAGCGCCATCGCTTGGGATTACAATCAGCAATGAAACTAAACATAAACAGCATTGTTTAATTGCCATCTCGGGGCAACCGTTCGTTCACTTTTCTGGTTTCTTCTTCGATGATTTGATATGAACTGAAGAGGTATTTCGCCAAGAGTTCTCCCCATATCATGGCCAAGGCCAGTGGCGGCTCTAAACCAATTATCTCCGCATATTTATACGGTATATTTTGTTGCAAGCTGCTTTATAGAAAACATCATGAATATAATGGCATTCTGGCTATTTATAGACGGAATTTTTTCAAAGAAAATATGACTGTTGATTCTTTTGTTGTGTAGTGACTGGTGAAATTTCACCGTTGAGAAAATTAATGCATCGCAAATCGTTAAAAAATAATGCTGAATTTCTAGATTATTTTCTTCCAATCGCCAGAATTTTGTTATAAATCTGTTTAGAAAAAATATGTTTTTCCGTTAATCAGCTGTTGCCCCCATACGAACGACAACTCTCAGAAGTTGAGAAACTTGTGCGAGCTAAGGACTAACGAGGTCTAATCTTTTAACGTGTGATTCCTAACAAGGTTGCAAAATCATCCCAGCTTCAACCAGATAAATTCTCTCGAAAAAAATATCTGGTCGAGGCGGGAATACTCAACAAATTGAAAAATTTGCAATAGGTACTGTTATCTGAGTTTGAAGTGGTACAAGCTTTTCACAGAAAGTCGAGAAGATGTGAATGACGATGAAACGACGATTAATGACGACGCCTGAACGCCCCAGGACATCAATAACCGATGAAAATGTTGAGAAAGTGAAGAAAATTGTTATAGAGAATCGTCGAATCACTGTTAGGAAAGGTGCTGTGGATGTCGGCATATCGGTTGGTTCAAGTTGGTTCGGAAATTTTGGTCATGAAGCGTGTGGCAGCAAAGTTCGTTGCAAAATTGCTACTTCTGATAATTCCTCTTCCATATTCTCTGTTTCACTATAACTGTCGTCATTTATTTCCACCATTCATATGGAAGTGTCCAACATCCATATAGTATTTTTCAACTAAAATTACTTTTTTAATCCTTTTCTGCCAGTCTTCTTCGGTAATTATTCGATAATTCTTCTTTAATTACGTCTATTACCTTCTTATCAAATTTTTGAATATAAGGGCATACACTTTTTCAAATGTTTTTGTCTGTAAAACTTCAAGTAGTTGGTTTTTGGTATAGTAATCTTCAAAATACTTATTGTTATCCATTAAAAAAACTTAGTGTTTCATCTTTCTTCGAATTTTATTCAGTACTTTGATTTGCATCCAAATTTAGGATCAATGTGTTTTCAAACCATTCTTCGAAAATATTAGCTTCCATGTCCTTATGATAGTTTTCAGTCCTCGAGTTTTTTTCCACATAATTTCAAAGAATTCGAAACCTATCCTTTACTTCCTTCGCAATGCACAATGATTAGTCGCGATCCTTTGTTTGCAGGCATATTGTACGTACACATTCTCGAACCATCAGTCCACACTTTCGTAACTGTGTCGTGAGTGTCATACCAAGTTTCGACCAAATAGAAAATTTGCCGTTGTTCTTGTTTATATTTACTAATTTGTTCTAAGTATCTGTTACGCAATTCCACTATTTTTCTGCTTTCCATAACTGCTTGACGTTTGTTTATTATTTTAAATCTAAATCCTAGTTTCTATATCCAATTCTGAAGAGTTTTGTCATAACAGCTCACGTTGTGGCCGGAAGTATTCAATTCCTTCCTTATGATTTCAGTTGTAGGAATCTCAATGCTTTTGTAATAGTCGTATAATGTTGTTTTCAATGATTTCATTAGATGAACATCTAAAAGGTTTGGTAATCCTGTATCACATTGCGTCTTGCGTTCATAAAGTTTGTCTTTGACTATTTTACGTACAGTTGAGAAAGGAATTTCAGTAAAATCTGATGTTGCTTGTAATAGTGTGTTTCCACCGAAACCAAACTTGAGATGTAGATTCTTATATACATACTCTCTGTGTTTCAATATTGAAATACATCCGAATCATATTCACGGGTATCTCTTTTTCGCATTGTTCACCATCGCTATTGAAATCACTACACTGGAAAAATAACTCTCGTTATTACTATTAGTACTTCTTCAAGGACGCCACGTTTTAAACAGATAACAAAAATTTTAAGTAATCATAACTGCACCAATATCGAATTTCAACACTCAAATCGCGATCAGTTCCTGAACTGAACATTGATGACACGACTGCGATAACCATCCACACATTCCCCGGTTTCTCTTCGTCACCGTAACATGATTTCAAATTTAATTTTATGACTCTTCAGCCAATCTAAAAACTCGGTTAGTAAAAAGTATCCAATACAAACCGCCAAATCTACAGTCCACGTGGACTACTTCGCTGCCGATTCATATCTATGTATTTGTTTTTTGGCCTTTGAGAGTGACGCCACATTTAGTGCACAATATCGTTTACTTTGACTATACCAAATAGTGCATATCAGAACCTCTTCGAGAATTGAAAAAAACGCTGACAAGTGTATCATATCTGAGGGAGAGTACTCTGTAGGGAACAAAATAGAAATTGATGCAAAAATACATATATTTTGAGAAAAATTCAAATTCGCCTCATTTTTTTGAACAACTAAAAACAATTCACCAGCAATAAAAAAATCATTGAATTTCAACATATTCATTACATTTGTTTATATTCTTCACAATTTAATATGTGGAATGAATCAGTTTCAACAAAACAAAAAGTTGTATAGAATAAAAATCATCACCCTGTATATTCATCTCCAAATTTTTCAAATTCACCTCTTACTTGATCAAGTTCACGAATTTTTAGAATGTTTCTATTGATATCCTCATTTGAAATTACAAAGAACACTCTGTAAATGATAGACACCTTTCAGAACCGCTACCGATTGTGGTCAACGACTTTGAGGTGAGATGAAAGAAGACGCCACAGGAGGTCAAAAAGCTCTGGTGGGAGTTCAGAATTGGCTCAACTTGGAATCATCAGATTACCGCTAGGTTCTTCGAACCTGAAGATTTAATGGGTTTCGAGATCTTAAAAACATCTCACACACCACACACGTTTTTATTCATGATGACTACTAATTTATGATGCTGGCATAATAGCCATGTATGAGGGCTACATAGTAAGTATAACGGAAACTCCGTTGAAGTAGGTATTGATGTGGAGATTCGAAAGGTGTATACGGTGTTTTTTATAAGCAATAAAATTGAGTTCTTCTTTCTTAGCGCAGTGGCGTGTAGTACAGATGGGAAAATATCTATATAAAAGTTTAAAATGATATTTGAGTATATATTCACCTTGACTATTTCCTTCAAAACGAAAAGAAATGATGAAAAGGAGGGATCACAAAAACGAAGATTTACGATAAAACTCTTCTATCCACATTTGGTCATAATTCTTGATTCATACGTGACTCTTAGGGCCTGGTTTTGCATCAATTTCACAATTTCAATCACTGCCACTATACTAATCAAATTGAACCAATGGAATCAAATATTCAAATATAATTATGAGTAACTATTGAACCTTTGCAAAAAATTCTACAGAAATTCACAGGTTTCATTTAATATGATTATGACAATGACTAAACCCTAACTCTACTAAGACAACTCAAATTAATATAATAATGATAATTTAATAATAATATTCTTTATTGCCATAAAATCAACTGAGGACATAGCACGTCAGGGGTTATAAAGCAATGCATTAAAATGTATGTACAGTGACAAAGATTATAATACAACTCATTGACCAAATGAAGTAAATACAAGTACGCATAAATACATTTACTAAAAATTATTGTAGTTTGAAAGTTTATGAGACAACTACATCAAGACCCATCACCAGCTGTTGAAACTGTAATAATTTTTTTCTTTCAGAAACTTTATCGTTAGGAGTCTGAATTTTCTCAGGTACTGAGTATTTTTTATTTCAGTTGGGAGTGACTGATATGCCTTGATGGCTTTATAGTGGGGTCCCTTCTCATAAAATGATGTTGTGGGTTTTGGTATACTGAGGTCGGTTTTTCCTCTGATATTTATTGCCATTTGATCGGAATAATGATCACAGTTCCTTGTAAAGATGTGGTAGTGTTTTTTTGCAAAAGTTACTAATTGAAGAAAGTACAAGGAAGGAACGGTTAATATGGCAAGTTCTTTGAAGTATGGTCTACATGTTGACCCATAAGGTAATTTTAACATAGAGCAAATTATATACTTTTGAGTTCTGAATATTTTGTTCGCCATAGTAGATCTGCCCCAAAATATAATGCCATATTGAATAATAGATTGAACATGTGCATATTAATAAACCTTCATGCTGTACAACGAGACTTGGTCCTTTGTTGCTCAAATTACCCCTGGTACAGAAACTGAGTTCAGTTTATTCACGTGTGTGTCCCATCTGATACTGCTATCAACTGTGACCCCCAAAAATTTGAAATCATTTATTTCTGGAATAGATTGATGGTTCAATTTGACATAGATCGATTCCTGTCTATTTTGGAAAGTTCTGAAGTGGATTAGTCCTGTTTTGTTTGTATTCAATTTTAATCCGTTCTCCGAACACCATCTGAACATTTTTTCCGCTACCTCCGATACCCCTCTGGAGAGAGCTCTTGAATCAGACCGAGACACTGTTACCGACGTATCATCTGCGAATTGACAGACTAGACTTGTACCAAGTGATTGTGGAAGGTCATTCACATATATCAAGAACAATATTGGTCCCAGGATAGACCCCTGTGGAACTCTTTCAGTAATTAGATTGCTATCAGAAATAGTTTGTTGGTCATTTTGAATGTCTACGACTTGGTATAACGTTGCCTCTAATTCCATAATTTTCTAGTTTATCTAGTAAAATAGTATGACTGACCATGTCAAAGGCCTTTGATAGATCAAAGTACAAGCTTCCTACCCTATTTTTTTCTTCAATATTATTCATAATTTCTGTTATCGCATCATGACCTTCCATTTTAGTTGACATCCCTTGTCTAAATCCATATTGTTTTGGAGCAAGTATCTTATTCAGATTCAAGAATGTTTGTAATCGCTTGTAGATTACTCTCTCAAAGAGCTTTCGATCCTTTTTTGTGGATCGGTATTACTCTTGCTATTTTATAGTTTAAAAAACTAAGAAAACACGCTTTTAAAGAACATCGAACTAAAAAGTTAAAAATATATTTTTAAACAAGCTTAAAACAATAACGAACGAAAAATACTAGTATTATTGTGAAAAAAGCGACGGGCGCTTGATATAAAAAAATATGGCACAAAGCGCCCACACTTTTTTCACAATAACACTAGTATTTTTCGTTCGTTATTGTTTTAAGCTGTGTTAAAAAAAATGATTTTCAACCTTTTAGTTCGATTTTCTTCGAAAGCGTGTTTTTTAGTTTTTTAAACTATATTAATTTTTAATTTTTTTTATTTCGTATGCTATCAAAGCGTGTTTTTTAGTATTTTTGAACTATATTCATTTCATCTTAACTTTGGAATCAATCAGCCGTATATTGTTTAGAAAAATGACCATTGATATTTTCCGATTCCGGAGAGGGAGCCTGAAAATCAGCTACCAAGCCCAAGGCAGCAGGCGCGCAAATGAGGGTTAAAAATAAGGCAGCAGAGGCGCGTGTTAATAAAAAAATGCTTTTTCCAAATAAAGAAATACATGTAAAGTGAGTTCGAATTATATCAAGGAGGTTACGTACATCGCCATCTGCCCGCAAATAGATCAAGCAATAATGTCGATAATTCTGTCGAATACAGATCTCGAGCATCCAAACGGGAATAAATATGAAATGAAAAGGAGAGTTACAAACAAACTGACTAACCAACAAACATACACACATGTATACAGGTGAAGCTAATAAAAGCGTGTTAATTAAGAACGAGTTGCAACAATTCACTGATTCACATAACCTCACGAAAATAAGACAACAATCCTTCGATTCAAACTCCACCAACAGATTATATATGATATTCAAAAATCTCAATATCCTAATAGAAACTAATTGGTATAATAAGATATTTTTTATTCGAATCGAAATATTTTTCTGAATAGTAGCAGTTTCATTGACGTACAGTTAATGCATCTTGGGTGCCGGCTCTGCGGTCTCACATCAAAACACGATGGATTTTAACAATGAAATTCTACTGTTGAGAAATACGAGATTAGTCATTTAGGCACTTAGGCATTTAGGTTTATATATTCGAACTTCATGTCTTTAATAATTGCACTTTTAAACAAACATTCTTATTCGAATTTCCCGTTATGTTGGTAATACAATTGATTTAATTTGAGAATTGACATTTTCTTCTTATGTCGATGCATTCAGCTCAGAATATTTCAGGACATAATATTTACAAACTACCAGTCGACCTCGAAAATTTCTCAGACAAATGTCCATTTCATAAATTCAAACTTCGTTATTTTTGGGAAATACCAATTGAATAATCTATCTGTATATGTAGGGTAAGGAGGGTGAGTGTAGTCCTACAGCAATTAGGGCACATGTGACCCATTATACATCCTCCCGACGAGTTGTCCTCCTAGGTCATCGTCCATCTTGTCCTTTCCAGGAAAATGGACAGGTTACTAGGAGACATCTCCTTTATATCGGCAGGTGTAGGCCAAGACTCGCCGAACATACACTCTCTTTGGCAACCTTGAGGTGTCTCACGGCGGCATCCGCGAAGATTTTGAGAGGTGCAGTGACACTACTGTCGTTGCGCGGCTTCTTCAACCTTCTTGGGGTTCCCTCCGTGGATGTGCTCAAGTGAGGGCGCTTTCCTGCAGGGGGAGCCGGTTACTTACCTCTATTCAAGGCGGAGCTCTTGGCGCCCGCTGCAGGAAGTGCCTTTGCTGTTGGAGGTGAAAGGTGCACTCATAGCTGCTACCACTCCCGCCTCTTTCGCTCTCTTTCTCCTTTTGGCCTCAGTGCAGCAAATGCTCTTACGCTTTGGCCTTTGTATTACATCACGAGGTGATCTGCTATGTCCAGCCTCATTCCGAGCGGTAGATTGGGTGGATATTTCTGTTCATCCCCAGTCACCGCCATATATTGAGGTGAGTACTTCTGTCCAGCCTAGGGATTGGTTTTTGTTTTTGTTGTGTCTGTCTTTGTGTATGTTTCATTCATGTGTGTTACCACGAGTAGCAGGGGAAGAGTTGGTCACCTCTGGCAGAGCCCCGCATTACCAGAGCAAGGCTGATTACAATTAGGTTTCGCCCGATTCCCCAAGGGGATCGTTCGTAACCGCATATCACCCTGCGGCCATTCAGCTGTCGGCACGATTCCTTACACCTCAGCTTGGGTAGGCTGGTCCACGGTGGCATGTTTCGCAAAGGCTTTTGGTGAGCTTTAGTTTCCCTCACCCTACTTATTTCTGCCACTGACCAGGAGTCCGGAGACCCCATCCATAAGGCCACATTGGCTTTTCGGACAGGGATCCCGGTCCTCTGGCCGTTCCCCTATCCGCCACCTGGAGACGCGCCTGATAGGGAGCCCAACCTACGGGTTGAATCATCTAAAAGGAACAATTCGTTCGGGCCAGTCTCAACTCCCTACATTGTAGGTTTATGGACTGACACCTATCAGAAAACAACTACTCCCCTGGCTAATACCATGAAGGTCGTTGGATTATATCCGACAGGTGTCAGTGCAGGATTATTCACTGAAGTTATTCTTGCATATGCTTTTGGCGATATAACTGCTACAATAGATTTTCAATTATTGGAACACACTTGCAGACCGGTTTCGGGCTGTTTGGCCACTCATCAGTGACATTAATTCTTCATTCTGAAAAATGGCGTCTTTTCACTTCAGACTTCCAGAGATGATTTTTTAAATAGATATTCAATGTTTTACTACAGCATAAATCGCGATGTTCGCGCAGAACTCTTTCAAGATTATTTTGCAGTTCCAAGGGAATTCTGAACCTAACGCACATACCATTGATGATATCTGTCGCAGTAGAAAACGAAACGTTTGTTTCTTCAGGTTCCTTTCGGCCACGGCCTACTAGCCCGGGTTTTATTCCCTTCATTTGATATTGATAAATGTACCCAGTACTCTTGTTATAATGAAGGCGAACATACACTTTTTATAACGTAAATGTAGAATCTGCCATTCGTAAGTCCTTAATTATGACGTACTAGAAAAAATGTACCACCAAGGTTCGAACAAACCGACTGAAGAGGAAACTTAGTGAAATGCATCGATCATACATTCATCTGAAATAACCAAATATTAGAGTTGTTAAAAAATGTAATCAGTATAGAGAATATTTATTTTCGTAATAAGTTGTTCTTCATTGTATTTGTAACTTAGATGTTGCTTTCATTCTGTGGTAGAACCAACAGTGTACGACGTAAGAACATTAATATTTGGAATTAAAATTCTCTCAACGTCCCTACACAATAGAATATGGTATATGCCTACCGAAAACAACTACATGCTTGGCTAATACCACGACGGAAATGATTATATCCGACAGTTATATCTGCAAGTTTTCTGAGAGAGGAAATTCTTGCAGATGCTTCTAGTTCATCCTGCAGCAGGAAATTATTGGAACGATTACCTCTCTTCAGTGCAGGATATCCAACCAAAACATCGACTGATTTCATCGAAGTTCGACGGCATTATGCTCTATTGATGAGAAGTAACACTTCGTAACCGGTCTGTAGGCGACCACTCAATCGATTTTAGCAAGGTTCTGATGCAGGACGACCTAGAAGCATCCACAAGAATTTTTCCTACGAAAAAACCTGCACAAATTGCAATCGATCAAAATGCAATTTCAAATTAAAATTCAAAAAATTTACATTTCTAACCCTTTTTGCCTCTCCCATGGTACTTTTGTTATGGTACTTGTTTTAGTCCCATCCCTAAGAAAGAAGGCGCCGTTAGTAAAACGCACTACTGTCTCATATACTCTTCCAAAGCGTAGCACTCTGGAAGTATAATTGTTGGAGGTTTCATTTTTTTTACAAAATTGGCATCGTTGTCTCGTTCAAGACGTTTAAATGTTTTCTCAGTGGAAAGTGTTCGATAATAGGAGTTATCTGTTTTTTAAAGTTATTCTTTATGTCTTTTGATTCTCTCAGACTTTAAATCTGTACAGTTCACTTTCCCTTCTAGAATTCGGACTATCATGTTTTTTCCTCATTTCATTAAGTAATATATATAGGTACTGAAAGGTAGAATAGTAACGTCTGGCGTAGAATAAATTCAATCACTGCAGAAGTACAACACTCCTTGCGATGCGCGCTTCACCAACCAAGGAGGTGTCATCAGGAGAGGAGCAGTGCAGAATTACTACGTAAAATGGTATTTTCGCCCCTTTTTTGCTAACTTACCCTCTAGTTCGTTGTCCTGCATCCCGTTTTTCTCGTTACCGATAAGAGGGTAGAATTTTTCATGCTTAGTGAACCCTAAACAAGTGGCTGCTTGACTATTTTTTATTTATATATTACCCGATAAAAATGTTCATTGAGTTTTAAAGGAGTCCGAATAAAATATACCACCGACCAACAACATAGAAAAGCGAGGAAAATAAAGTAAATAAAGATCTCGTTAAAGTTCCCGTTAGGGGCCGGCAGTTTATCTTACGGTAAAACGAGTCTTGGCCAAAACATAGAATTTAACTCGGACAGTTGATAGTTACTTTTCAATCGGTGTGCAGCTAACATGCTGATTAAAACGATATTATTGATTACTTTCAGTCTGTCATGCGCCATCTCATCGCCTGTGCCATCGAAAAAAGGAAAAGATGCCTCTCATCCTAAAGAACACTATGATCAGCGACAAGAAGGTGAATATTTATTTTTATTCATCGTGAGATGTGGGAGCTTTTGCGTCCGTCCGTTCACATATATCATATGCGATGTTAGATGATAGTATATACAGAGTTAGTCAAAAAAATTGATACTTTGATGCGAACCACTTTGTAGCTCGATGAATGAATATCAACTGGTTTTCTCTTTCGAAACGAGCACTTTTCCCAAACACCACAACTGCAATACTTTTCTCGACGCGCGTTTCTAGTGTATTTTAGATTTATTCTACGCCAGGGGTTTCAGTTTTACCATTTAAACATTTCTCTTGTATATAAACTAGAACTTGTAACAGAACCATGAAACGCTGAATTTAACTCGACAACAAGGGGAATTAAAAATTCAATCTATAATTAAATTCAATTAATCAAACGAAAAGACCTGGAGGTTTGCAAAATATTTCTAAGTTCATATTTCAATGTTTTGTTTTGATGTGACTATTTGATAAAAGCCTCAATACTATAGTTCCTCCTTTCTCGTAGTAAAAAATAACCGTTTTTAAAAGCAAGCGTGTTCTAAACAAAAGAAAATAATTTTCAACAGGCTAGAAGACTTCCTGTTTCAAGTTTCGACAATTAAACAGGCAGTTCATTAACTTTGTAAAAATAATTTGAGCGAGACTAGGATTAACGAGGACTTACCTTTCAACATGTGATTCCCAGCAAGTCAAAAGGTAAAAAACATATAACATCTTGGTATCCTCAGATGAGTAATTTCATTTGAAATGTGAAGACCAAACTAATACTCAGGGTGTTCCTTTTGGAAAAATCACAAAGGTTTACATATGAAAATGACCTTTTCATTACTTTCTCCGTACCGGTACGTTTTCGGAGGCTGAAATTTTGTATGTAGGTTCCTTTTATATCGTGGATGTGCAATAACAAAGGATTCTCAAAAATAACCTGAATTTTTCTCTCTCTTGATAGCCAATGCGTTTGAGAATTTTTTGCTCCAATCACTATGACGATCGAACACACAATGAAAAATCAATCTTTGTTTTATCTACGGTCTGAAACTCGGGAGTAAAAAACAAAAAATGCCTTATCAGTTTTGAGCAAATACTGTTTTTGTATTTGAATTTTTTTTTTGGAAATGTCTCAAAAAAGTGGTTCGACAACATATACACACACACACATTCTGCGTGGAATGTGTTCTAGAACATTAGCATATTTTGTGTGGATTGTTTGTAGTTTTGATAAAACTTTCCATACAGTCTCTACCACAATATATTAGTACCTTATTTCATCCTAGTTTGAAGTACCTTCACATTTTCTTAGGATTTTACAGACAATCAAGTATATATTACTTAAATATTAATATTTATATTCGATATAATTTATTTGTTCACTTTGAGTTGGGAACTGGTATATTTTGTTTGAAATCTTTCCTCAAATATCTCCGATCATAAAGACGACCTTCAATCAAAATACAGGAAGTAAGTGTTAATTGCTTCAGCACCAAATCTTTCCAGAGTTATTTTTTTTTTTTATCTTCACTGAATTAAATCTTAAAAATTTTCTTTTCTTCATTTTCAGGACAATGGAATGTCCGTGCTCACCTAGACAACTTTGTAATAATGATAATTCCCACTCAGTCATTAGTTGGTCCTAGCTCTTCGTCTCCAAGCATCCTCGATTTCTTCAAAAAAACGTTGCCAAAGCGAAACCACTTGAAGCGGGGAAAACATGATCAGAAACATAAGAGACCTGATTCAGCTCAAGAAACTATGCACTTCATCGAATCCAAAACTGCTCCGTATCACGTAGATATTACTAAATCTAAATCTACTAACAAGGATGAATTAGTTGAGAGTACCCCTGAGATCGCTTTGATCACATCAGATATTCCTATGGCAAACATTGACCAAAAACGTATTTCAAGACATTTTATTTTGACAGTTCCTGCAGACGAAGAATACACATTGACAAGGATGCCAGGGAATATAACAGCTTCGAAAAAGGTCAAGAAAACCTCAAAGGAAGTTATGAAAAATGAACTAAAACTTTTGGGTGCGGAAAACGAAGAATGTGGTCCAGGATTAGAAAGAGATTCTATTGGAATATGCCGAACTTCCATGAAAGTTTAAAAACTGTTATTATATGTACTGATTTTATTTATTTATTTTTTCATAGACGATATGAAGAAAATTAAAGATGTAAACGTTGTTTTCTGTGATTATCGAATAAAAGAATAGTTAAACAATATATATGTTACGAACCAACAGTTGACAAATAAAGCCTTAATATTTAATACTGCATGAACAGCATTTTTTCAAATAAATTCACCTGTAATTGACTTCTAGTTACAAGATTTTTCTTGGCAAAGCCAATATTGACAGTTTAGAAATAGCCGATACCATGTCGGTCGAATTCAAACAAAACTTATGTGTTTAGAGGAACAGTACAAAATAATCATGGAAGATTAAAAATTCACCATTTGTTCAAAAAAAGCAAGGTACTGATCTTAATGTGTAACGCTAACAACTCAAGATTATCTCACTCAATCAAAAGAGACATTTTTCAAATCTTGTATATGTATGTGTGCGCCTCTAGGACTTCCAGCCAGTATAATAAAGTGGATACAATCATATATGACAGATAGAACCATGATAGTGAGATGCAATAATTCAATTTCACACAGTAAGGCTGTGAAACTTGGGGTACCACAGGGTTCAGTTCTTAGGCCACTGCTGTTTCTTCTTTATGAAAATGATCTTCCACAATATTTAGAAAACGTTCATGTTACCATGTTTGCCGACGACACAACGATAACAATATCCGATCAGGATGCAGAACAGCTTGCAGTTAAACTGAAAATGATTGTAAATATATTTTCATCCTGGTGTCAGAGAAATAAGTTAATTCTAAACACGTCCAAATCGGTAATAGTCAAATTTTTTCACCGAAAATTGTTACCCAACGAACTTTTTGTAATTGACGACATCCAACCCTCTATGGAAACTAAATTTTTAGGCACTCATTTAGATGAGAGTATAAATTGGGGTAGACACATTGAAAGTGTATGTTCAAAACTAAATAAAGCCTATTTCGCTATTAAACATATGAAATCAACTATGAATATAGCAGGCTTGCTAAGCATTTACTATGCTATGGCATATGCACATATTAATATGAATATATTGGCATGGGGTCGAGCAAGAGAATTCTTGAGAGTGTTTGTTTCCCAAAAGCGTTTAGTAAGACTGATTTTTAACTTGAATTATCAAGACAGTTGTCGATCTATCTTTAAAGAAAATAAAATTCTTACGGTGCCTGCTGTGTACATTTTTCGATGTATTATCTTTGCCAAACAGAATATAGATAATTATTCGTGTAATTCTGAGAAACATGAATATAACACCAGACACGGCAACTTATTGAAAATTCCTAAACATAGAACGACATTCTATGAGAGGTCTCCGGATTACAATGCAATCATATATTACAATAAACTACCAGAATCACTCAAACGGACTGGAAGTAACATCATATTTCAAAAGAAAGTTAAAGACTTGCTATTAGAGAAATGCTACTATAGTTTCCAAGAATTTTTAGACGATAATTTCTGAAAAATAAAATATGAACTAGATCTGTATACGTTTTTATATATTTCAATTGTGTATGTGTTTATATGTATAAATTTATTTCTTTTTTTTCTTTTTAGTGACGTCTTGTATAAATATTAACATTTTTAAATTTATACCTAGTATTAATTCTGATTATTGATTGACTTACCATATATACACTATGTATCGTGAATGGTGAATAAAATATTATTATTATTATTATACGTGTGTGTATATATCAGTATATATATACATTAAAGTAACATGACTCGACGATGGGGTCGTTATCTACCAGAACACCAAGGCTCATCAACTTCTACTCTACTGAAGATAAAGTAAGATGATTTTCATTCATTTAATAATTTAAAACGATTACATTGAACTCTAACTGATGAACTTGTAGTAACTTTTTATCAGAAGTGAACAAAGGGAATACGTGAACATGTAAATGATGAATAAAAGGGTTTCATTAGCATTTATGCTAAAATTGCAAGACATGCCACTAGCCTATATGATTTTCATTATCTATATGAATCTGAAATGTACTGGAAACAGGTGAATAAAAAACAAACCATATGTTATAAAAACAAATACATTTATTATACAATTTGATAAATCTAAACAATCAATTAACAGTAAATTAATAAAATGAGATTTAAATATTGTTACTCTATTTGAACAATGTAAATAAAACAATCATTGACAACATATTTCGAGTAAATCTGAGATTTGGCAATTAAGCTTTAGTGCGTATTAGATTCGTATTAAATTCAGTTTTAAAGTCTTATAGGTATGACTATTAATGGCTAAAATCCTACAATCTATTCGTTACTGCCTAGTTAAATCCGTTAATGTTCAAGAAGTATATTAACAAAAAATATATATAAATAGTTATATCCGGTCACCTTTTTCAGTCAGAATTGAAAAATAGGACAGATAAAGAAAAATAAATAGATTAATTGTAATGACGTGAAGAAGGCATCATTTTTACAGTAGTTCTCAATTAAGACACTTAATTCAAAAAAGTAGGCACTTTTTCACTCTTATGAAAATGGTATATTCCCAAGTGAATGTTCTTATATAATAAATTGCAATTCAAACATTTCAGTTTGAACATTTCAGGCATTTTTTAATAGGGATTAATCGATGTATTAACAATATATTTCCCCAATTTTGAAAAGTATGTCAATCTATTACATTGAAAGTTTTAACATGAAAGTTCTCATTATCAAGGAATGAAAATATCATCCGATAGATAATCAAATTTCTGGTATGAATTCTTCACAAAATTTAGAAAATATACTGCCTAAAAAACAAAAATTCTACCCTTGAAAGTTCACAGATTGCTGATTTCTCTCTTAAGACACTGATTATGGCACAAGAATGTTTATTTTCAAGGAATTACCCAAAAGTATGGATATATCAAAATTAAGCAGACATAGTACTAATATGGAACACTAGTTGATCAATTGATACCACACAAAAACATTTTCTTCACTTAAGTAATTAGTATCGATTTAGAAAAACATTCTCACAACTCAAGTCAGTGTAATATCAATCAAACATCATAAAAATTCCTACTTTCATACATAAATTAGGACTGTGGCAGTTTAACAAGAAGTCATAATTGATCCCAGCATTTCAGTGTTTAGCCTTTGCCTGCATATGTTGGATTTTTGAACGTTGATGTAGCTTGTTTGTATATAGGATTTTCGCCCTGTAATATATTGGAACAATGAAAAATTGTTGAAATAATTTTTAAAAATGCTTTTTCCTTGTAGAAGTTACTACGTACCGTGTCCCACTTAGCCATCATTTTCTCTTTTTCGAACCTAGCAAATTCTCTTCTATCATGAATAGTTGTAAGCAACTTCCAAAGCAATAAAATAGCCATTCCGATGAGAACAATAGCAGCTATTACTCCCAAAACAATTCCAGGAACATACACCTATAAACATTCAATATAAAGATTAAATACCAATTTGTATTATAATAATGTGTTTATAATTAGGAACAACCACCTAAATAACCTTTGGAATTAGTGAAAATAACAGTTATTGTAGTATATGTTCATTCACTTCGAGTTTAACAGGTAAAAAACTGAAATAATTATGTCTATCACAGGATCATGCAAATGGTGAAAGAGACTTTGAACCGATAATGATATTTGGAAATGTTCTTAGTGTATTAGAACACTGAAACTCACTCAGTATTCATCGATAACTATTGAAATATAAAAAAGTATTAATATCTAAGTTATACATTTGCATTATTTTCATAACATTGCAATTGAATAAGTGAAACATCTATTCCAATAATTGGATTTCCAAATATATTACAAATTACAACTCTTAAAAATGTCTTACCTTATCCGGACATTCCCTTTCTTGTTGGGCTCGAACTTGAATTTTGTTTTCATTATCAAAATAATAAACATATGTGAACCTACATTCATCCTCATCGTAATAAGCACAGAGAATTTCATTTTCTTCATTAGCTGAAAATGAAAATGACAATGGAGCATTTGCATAAAATGATAACTAACTTATTAGCTATGTAATATTTCCACAACATAGCAGTTCAGTGAAGGCAGAGACAGTTATAAAATAGAGGGAATGATGGTAATGAAAATAGCAAACAAATAATTGTACCTATTACTTCAACCACTGGTATGGGAACAAACTTGGTGCAATTTGCAGCACAATCTGCCTTATCTTTCAAAGGTCCAGTCTTATATTGTTGGCATTGAACACAATCTTTGAACTCGATACATCGATCTGAACAAGTCTGCAAGTATCATATTAGAAAGAAACAAAATTTAAACCTGAGAAATACTTACAGGGCACTTCTCACAGAACTTTCCAGAGTAGCGTCCATCTTCTGTCGTCTCACATTTGCACACCCCGCATTCACATATTCCATGACCTGAACATATTTCCCCATTGTCCACTCCAGGGACGTAACATGTTGAATTGGATTTTTTGCAAGCACAATTTGAACCAGTCCAGTCATCTGTACAATCGCATACACCACAGTCACAAATTCCATGTTTAGGTCCGCTACAGAGTTCACCATCATGACGTTCACAAGAGAAGTTGTCACATTCGCAATACCTCCCATAAATTCGCTGAAAATCACGACTCATCATATAAAGTATGACCAAAATTCAATACATATATTCAAAACTCACGAGTGGTGCTAGTTTGAACCACGAATCCATTGTTAGTCACAAATGTCCTTAAAAGAAAAGCCCGAATAGGCGATGACATCTCTCCTTACGAAGGTGACATGCATAGGATTGAGTGAAGACTCAATCCACAAATATCAATAATGAATGAGGCTTGAATCTTCTGTCAATTCTATACATGGCGTCTTCATAGTAGGGGAGATGTTACTGATTTTTTTAATCAAGTTCGCTCTTGAGTAGAAGTTCAACAATGCATGTATTCATGCATGTATGATTAGACCTAAGACAGGTCGAACCAGTGCTTTCAAAAAAACATACTATTCATTATATGAATGAAAAACTACATATTAATTGAAACTGTCATAAGTATTCTTGTCAGTTGTAATAGAACTCTTCATTTGGGAAATATTTGACCAACTTACAGAACACATTAATTCTGATCTTATCTGAATTGGCAGGTTGTAATGGAAAGTGATATTATATATAAGATTTTTTTTAATTATATTATCAAGTGATTGCCATGACCTGTGCAATAATTAGGGAAAGATAGATCGGTCAAGAAAGATGAAGGGTTCTTTCTGGCAAAAATAATACATTTTAAATAATACACTGTTGGAACTGTCAACAGTTTCCTTTTTTATGAATACTGATATTCCATATTGAAATTCATTCTCAAAATATGTTAAAAAAACACTCTTTCCAATCGGCAGAACTACTATACTCTTTTCGAAGCACGTTTAATCACCAAGTTGGCGTTTTCAGGGAGATTCCCCATTATTGTCCCATGAATAGCATATTGAAATCCGTACTGCATAAGATATGACATTATCTCAAAAGCCTTATCCCTTCAAATAAAGACAAATAAGTCCTTGAATTATTTACCTCGTTATCGTTCGTTCTTGATTCACAATCGCAACGACCACAAACACATTGTCCTTTTCCCGAGCACTCTGGGCCAGAAGTACCAGGAAGAATACAGTCTGTGGTAGTTATGTTTCGAGATATTTCATCTAAAGTACATTCACAGTGTCTGCCAAATGCCCCCGGATAACATTCACATACACCACATTTGTATGTTCCATGATGAGAACATGCCGGAGCGTTTTCCAGGTAAAACTGCAATAAAAATGTCTTCAGATGAACTTTATGTTTAGCATTGACATACCCTATCGCCCGGTTTTTCACAGTTACATTCACAGAGCATTTCTAAATCAATAGTCAGACTTTCATTAATTCCAACAGGATAGATCTGAATGGTTTGGAAATAATCTGATCGCTTTTCAGGACATTTCAGTACTTCGATGTCGATTTTGAAATTGATTATATCTCCTACCTAGAAGGACAAATGAAATTATGGTTAATATTTCAGTATCAAGTCAACACATAATATTGTTTATTAATAATAATAATAATAATAGAATTTATTCATCAATCAAAGGTTATACAAGGCATTATACATACACATACATAACACTTATCAGACTAGTCAAGAAAGAAAAGAAGGTAATCTACAAATAAGTTGTTAATCGGAAACAAACCAGATAAATTGTACATACAATAGTCAGTCTTACAATTATGAGATATCACGAATTATAAAAGTCTTCAACATTATAAAAAATTTCAAGAAGAAAGTTTTTCAATTTATTTTTGAATAGAATGTCATTCAGATTCACATCTATCAAATCTCTTATTTTATTGAAACACTTGATACCAATATGCTTTGGTGAATTTTCACAGACTGATAACCTTGAATAGGGTTGTCGAAGTTTTTCTTTATTCCTAGTATTATACATATGAGTATTATCAAAATACCTGAAATATTTCTCAATGGACAGTTACTGAATATAAACATCAGTAGTATAAATGCATTAGTGGTTTTTATATGTTTATGCTTCCGGGACAAATAATAATAACGATTTATGTATATTATGTCACAACCATTGACATGAAAAAAGATATATTTACATAAATCACAAAAATGAGAAGATTATGTATACAATGTATATTGTCAACAAAATCAGATGAAGAATAAAAACAGGTTTGTAACAGATAAGTCTTGTTTTTTTTTAACTTTGACATGATTTGGTTGCTGCACATTCATCACTAGCACTCTCAGTTTGAGCACTGTTACAAGCATTTCCTGCCATTTACAAGGTTCCATGCAGATCTGATATTTGATTGTTCTATGGTTACTTTGAAAGAAGCATATATGTCTGGAAACTTTTAATTAAGTTATCAAAGGCCATTTTTGGAAAATTCTTTGTAAAAAAAATTCTTAGCTTTTTTGGAGTTATATTTGGTACAATTATAGATACATGAAAATTCATCATCTTCTGTATACCTTTTATTGTTAAGTTTTCATTATTTTTAAGTAATGAGATCGTCTTTTGTTACCAACTATTCTTCACTACTGGGTGTTCCCGATGTTTGTGATGTGTTTTCCGAATCCTCCAAGAGCGAATTTATAGTTCCAGTACCCGTTTGTTGAGTTTGAATATTCAGAAGTTACTGGGAGTCTACTGTCTGTTATTATTTCATCACATTCCTGTCAAGATTAAATTTTTAATAGTTTTTTCATCTCAGAAACGATTTCAAGATGTTCATTTCCTATTTTGATGTTCAGTGTGTATCATGGTCAATTTTGTTCAACCTATATTTAGACCCCATCATCATCATTTTGCTTTTATTTACAATTAGGACAAGTTTATTGATCAGTAAATATTCAACAAATGGATCTATTATACCTTGCATCTCCTCTATTGCATCCTTTGATATGTATAATAAGGTGTCATTTGCAAATAAGTCAACCGATTGTCTACCTGCTAAATAGTAAATATTATTTAGACATATAATAAATGAAAGTTGCCTATAATGAATTTGCTCTAAACCACCGGAAAACATTTTTTTTGTAAAATTCAGTGAAGAGACTTGAATATGCAGTTACAGACATCTTTATAATGGTTTCAAATGATATTTCAAAGTTGTATTTAAGAGATATCTTAAAGATGTCTTTCAAAGATGACTTGAAGATGTCTTTCTAAAATATCTTCTTAGATATCATTATTTGTAACAAAATGTATCTTCAAAACGATTTCAAGATATCTTTCTGGAAATAGAGAACAATCCTTATAAGTCTGTTACGTCTTGACAACTACTCTACAACTATAATGATTTTATATTTCCTAAAATAATGAGGTTAGGAATGGTGCGAAGTTAATTTTACTCAGCTTCAATATGTCATTTTGAGTGAGTAGTTTATTTTTGCTTATAAATGCAAATCACAATGTCCGGAATAATAGTTTTTTCAGCCAAAAAAAATCTTTGTAGTAGTGGGGTTGTATTCAACGAGTTCACTGGAGATTTAAAATGAAACTTATACCCAAAATTTAATACTAGATAACAAAACTGAAAAGGATTGGGAGTTCTGACTTTTTCACTTTGTGTTCAATTTCACTTCATACAATCATTTACCACTCTAATTCATATGTTTCCCAATTACCTAGACCGTAGAAGTCACATTAGGTACCTGACAAAGAAATTTCTTTCAGAAGTGAATTCAAAAAATGTTAATACCAGATAATTAATTTCAAAATACTTTTGATTTACCTTTATATTGCCACATTTGTTTGTATTCACCAAAGCTCCTGTAGAATTCAGACATCTAGTGAAAAATTTAATGCTGACCGCGCTAGAAGCATTGTGCTTCATTTCAACTGTTGAAGATATTTGTTCATATTGTTCTTTTATTAATGTTACGATATTGGAACTGTCCCCTTCCAGTTGGCCAACTGATGCACCCTCAATGGTTTTAGCAAGATGTTCGTAAATTTCAAGTGTTGATTTTGTGACAGCAAATATTACGTTGATTGAATTTTTTTTTACATTCAAATGAATTTGCTCAATTGATGGATAGTCCTGATGAGATGACTCAGTGTAAATTCCCTCTCTCGATAAATGACACTGACCATCGTTTGGTTTGACAATTCCACCCAGCTGCAAATAAGAAATTCAATAGACCTTTTCTAGTCAGTGTCGATTCTAGTACCTTTCCATCACCAGCATAGTGAAAACTAGCATCAGTTGAAAATACAAGTAACCGTCGAGCTTGTTCTCTCCAACCAATTTGATCTCTACATACCACTGCTTGCATGATGGCATCAAATCCACCTTCTGGAGCATCTAAGTTTCCGGAAACATTTGCCGCCTTCACCATTTGCTACAGTAATAAATCAACATCAGTACAAAGATTCATAAATGTTTTGAGTAAATAAATGTCTTATATATTTTAAATGAAAAAAAATCCGTATCACAGATCAAAACTCATCAATGGAAATCAAGTGAATTTGTGGTCAATTTATTCATTGCTGGTAGAAAGATAATCCCAAAAGTACCTGGCCAGAAGTATGAAGAGCAATTGTTGTATAAAGAAGGAAATTACTAGACCTGAAAGTACCAGCATAAGAGGTAGATGTGATGTTTGAATTTCCTTTCCACCCATTGATAGTCAACCCTTTCAGTGAATTTATAATCAAAAAAGATATTTGTTGAACTTCCCACCAGTTTCTTGTAAAGATCTTAGCAGAATTTGTAACGTCATAAGTTCTGTCACAGTGATTACAAGTATGAATAATTGAGACCAAACCAGCAATGTCTGCCATTAGTATTCAATTTACAAAAAAACTGTAATAAAATGAACACTATAACCAACATTTGTGTTCAAATGATAATTCTAATTTATTCGTAATATTTCTCCAACTATTTTATTAGCTAAGCTGAACGCAGACTTAGTTGGGTTGGAACAATCTTCGAATTTTTGTGTCTAGAATAAATAATCTGAATTGAAAATTTCTGAGTTTTGCCCTGATACTATTCAAGTAAGGTATATCCTAAAATTATCAAAAGTTTTTCTACCTTGATAAACAATATAAGACATTTGGATATTTTATTTAAGAGGTAAATTAGTAGAAACATGGGAGAGATGTTATTGCATAAGAAAAAGGATTATTGTAAAATAAAGCTGCAGATATGAGTAAATTAATTCAATGTCTGTTAGTATAGCATATCCAATTGACAAAATAACAAACAAAAAAGTATTAGTAATATTATCACTACCTAAATTATTTACACCAACACTATATTAGCTTTCAATCCAGTTTAAAGAAGACGGCCAAGACTGATAACCTAAAATGTTAAAAAATAAATATAAAATAAATAATTTCTCCTCCACCATGGGAGATTAAAAAATTGCAACATTCAAAGCAGTCAAGAGATTATTTTACAAAGTAAATTAGCAGCTAATCAATTACTCCTGCACAAAATATACAACAGAATAATTAAAAAAACTATACAGGAAAAACTGCAGAATAAGGTTTAGATAATATATTGGCATATTGACAAAATAAATTTGTCCTACTAGTGGAGAATATAACTAATTTAGTTATTTTCAACTATAACACCTTGATAATTCGTAATTTCCATGTAAGTTAATTCTGTTAATATCTCCATGCCTGAGAATTTATGAAAAGGATTTTAGGTCTACATAGGAGTCACTTTTGTTAGGTATAAACAGCAGCAGTTTAAAATTTGGTTCCAAATCCATGGCAAAGCATTATTACCAAAACAAAAAGCTATAGTATTTCTCAGTAAGTGAAAAAAAAGTTATTAGTGATAAATCATTGACTTGGCAAGGGCTGTTATTTGCTTCATCTTGCCAACTTACTGAAAATCGTTGAGTGTTAGTCGACAGCCTCATGGCATGTTTGTAACCATAAGGTGCATCACAATCGGTACATGGATGTCTTAAACTATAACGAAATAACAAAGTTAACGTCTAACATATTAATACAGTTTTCAGTGATTTGTAAAACAGAAAGAGTACCCAATATATACAGAAAAAACAATTGGAGAAAACTGCTGGATCTTCTCTGAAACCATTTTTTGTTTTAGGTTTCACTAATGTACATTCCTTTTCAAATTCATAAAATTTAAAAATAAACTCAATAAATTGGAATCAATTTTCCTATATTTATTTAACTTGAATAAAATTACTACAGCACATAATCTACAGAACTGAACCATGAGAATAATATTGAGTTGTGCTGACTAACTCCAATAAACTTGATGTTGGAAATGCTGGACTGGAGAGGAGTTAAAAAATGAATTTATTTTCTGACCTTGGCCTATATTTATAAACTGATGAATTATTTATTTCCAAGTTATATGAATGATTACGAGGGAGGTCCCAGAAATACCCAGCCTGACCTAGAGATGGCTGTTTTTGAAAAATATCACTGTATTATAAAGTACACAATCTATGAAGCATATGTTTCAAGTTTGAACACGCTGCGTTGTTTAGTATTTGTTTAGCAGCCATCAATAACGAACGTTTTTGGTGAAATTGGTGAGTTGGTCATCGTTATGTGGTACAATACTTTTATTTAAAAGGCCTCAGCCCAACCAACATGAAATCTGAACTGGATTCTACTCTGAGTGGGTCTGCTCCTTCGTTTACAACAGTGAAATATTGGGTAGCATAGTTTACACGAGCATCGCAATGGTCGACCAAATGGGGTGACGATTCCAGAAACGGTGACGAAAATCCACAAAACGGTACTGAATGATCGTCGACTGAAAAAGTGAGGTACATCGTATATTATCTGGAAATTTGAAAATGAGAATGCTGTGTGCAAGATGGGTGCCGCGTTAGCTCACACTCGTGCAAAAACAGTGTCGTGAAGATGTTTCAATTGAGTGTTTAGCGAAGTTTCACTGCCAGTTTCAAAGCAAATTTCTTGCTTCGTTTCATAACGATGGATGAAACATGGGTCCATCACTTTACACTTGAGACAAAAAAACAATCAAAACAATGGACTCAAAAGGGAGAACCGGCTCCAAAGAAGGCGAAAACCATATCATCTGCAGGCAAGGTCATGGCATCGGTTTTATGGGATAATTTTCATTGACTATCTTAAAAAAAAAGTTAAATTATCAACAGCGAGTATAATGCGAACTTATTGCAACGTTTGAGTGAAGAAATCAAGCAGAAACGGCCTCAGTTGACTGAGAAAAAGGTGACAATGCACCAGCTTACAAATCCATTATCACAACAACCAAAATTAACAAGTTAAAGTTTGAATTGCTATATATGCATCCTATGAAAAAATGGCTCACTGGTCAAGGATTTTCCAACGATGAAGAAATGATATCAGCACGTACCACAATTTAATTTATATACTCCTGATTTCTCGAATTTGTCGATGTTTTGACAAAACATTCAAATTCAAAAATGTTTTGACAAAATATGTTTAGAGAAAACATCCAAATTCGGAAAATCAGGAGTATATAAATTAAAGTGTGGAACGTGCCGTAAGGTGTATATTGGTCAAACTGGATGTTTGACAAAACATGTTTTGACAAAACATCCAAATTCGAGAAATCAGGAGTATATAAGTTGAAGTGAGGAACGTGCCCTAAGATGTATATTGGTCAAACTGGCAGGACATTTAGGAATCGAATCCAGGAACATCATACGAGCTATGTAAATAAGAAAACAAAGTCAACATATTCAAATCATCTTCTAGAAAAAAATCATATCTTCAACGAACAGTTCGAAATTTTGCACATAGAAAATAAAGGTTTGAAACTGAATCAATTGGACGCAATGGAAATTAATAAACTTAAAAATTCAAACATTCTAATGAATGACCAACTAGATTTGAATAGATCACCATTATTGAACTTGTTTTCTTAAAAACCGAGAAAAAATTATTATTGATGTAAATATGAGGTAATATGCTTCAGGTGATCATAATTAAACAATGTGGCAAACTATTCGAAAAATACAAAAATCGGGTAACAAATATAAAGAAACTATAATCTACGATGGTGAAAATGAAGTTTCAAGTACTGATGTGGCCAATAATTTCAATATCAATTTTACTCGCGTCATACAACACGGGGACACTGATATTAACTTTATGGAAGGTAATGTTGATAATTCGCCATTTTCCGTATTCATACGTCCAATTACAGAATTTGGTTATTTTGACATGGTGAATAAACTCAAAAATTCAGATGCTAGCGGAGTTGACAGTATCTCAAACAATCTCCTTAAAAAATGTGCTCATGAGTTGTGTAATCCATTAATATATCTAATTAATCTTTCTGTTGAGCATGGCATATTTCCTGAAAAATTAAAAGTTGCACTAGTTACTCCAATATTCAAGAAAGGAGACCCTAATACATATGATAATTATAGAGGAATAAGTTTACTATCCAGTATATCCAAATTATTTGAGTTAAATATTAAAAATCAACTGCTAACATTTTTAACAGCAAATCACCTTCTCTCATCGAATCAGCATGGTTTTACGAATAATCGAAGTACTGAAACAGCTCTATATGACTTCAATGAACACTTAATAACTTCTCTTGACTGCAAATTTCAAATATGCGGTTTGTTCATAGATTTCTCAAAAGCGTTCGATTGTGTAGATCACGAGTTATTACTTTTGAAAATGAATAGACTTGGGGTGCGGGGAATTGCTCACGATTTGATAAAGACATATCTTCAAAATAGGAAACAGCAAGTCATTGNCATATCAAACACCAACATTTTCAAAGGTTTTTAAAAATTTCAATAGTTAACTGAAAAATGTGAAATTCAATTTGATTTAATAAAATAAAATCCTAGAGAATTTAAGTACTTATCCATATAACAAGTAGTCATTCACATATAAAGCAGGTTTTTTATATTCTTTCAGAAATACCAAAAGTTCAAGTTGGTACTGATTTATGTAAAGTACGAGGTAATGTTCTGAACTTGTCCATATCAACTTGTGTAGGTAGCGGTACACCGATATCAATAAAATAATCATTTTCCACATGCTTTCACTACCCTAAACCAGCAGAATTATTCACATAACTGAAAACAAACCCAATAATCAACATGCCTCTATAGTACCTACAAATGCTTTGTTCACGGAAAACAGCACATGTCACTACAAAATAACATCATAGACATAGTATTTGACACAATAACAATACAAAACATGATATTTTCAAAGCATAATGTCACAGAATAGAAATGAAAATGAGGTAAGAGTTACTACTGGCTCTTCTGGAATGACTCCAACATTTGACATATCATTTTTTAATTTGCAAATAAAAATATTAACCATTTCTATCAATAATATGTTACTGTTGAGTACATCATTCCAGGAGCTTCAGTGAAAATGACTGGAATGAGAAAGTTTATATCACAGAAATCATCGAATGGGATAGGCTGTGGGAACAGGATGTGTTAAAATGCTATGATTAGAAGGAAACTTACTGAAAACTTATGGGTATCTTTGTTAAGAGTCATGTGATGACGAAATCCATATGGAGCTACGCAAATATCACACGGTCGTTCCAACCTAAAGTAGTCAACAAAATACTCTTAAAATTTTTAGGATCACATAATGCACATTGAGAGAGCTTCACCTTTAAAATATCAATCAAAATAAATACAATGCAATAAAACCCAGTGAAATAATGTAATACTCAGTATGTCCAACTATATCTTTAGATTGTTAGATAATCTTGAAGGGAAAATTATTTTGAAATCAATTTTATAATCTAATATTTCAAAATCTAACATCAAATGCTCACTGATTTCTCAGAAACATACACTAGTTTTGAATTAGCAAAATCAATTTATAACTTACCTTAATTAGAAATTTTGATGAGGTTTTACTAGATATAACTAGAATTTATTTTAATGTTTTTACAATTTGTTGATGTTAGGAAGGGGCTACTTATTAGTGATGGAGCTTGTAAGCTTTCTTCAAGTTGATTGAGCTAAATTGTAACAAATTATGAAAAAAAAAGATATAAATGTTGAATCGAAATCAAAAAAGTATTTCAGTATTTGCTGAAATATCTGTTGATGTATTGGAGAGAAAAATCGTCATCTTTTCATGGAAGCATGTTTTATTGTGGAATTAAAAACTCCAATGTCAGTCTGGCTAAGTCTCATAAAAAAAACAACACATGGAAAAATGAAATCAGTCAGTGCTGGAGCAAAATTATACTTCACTTACTTTTCTGGAAGTGTACTGACATAAGGCATAACGACTTTATCAACGAAACTCCCGAATCCTAGACGAAAGTTCGAAGTAAGTTTTCTCATGGTATATGCCAATTGATCGCCGAGAGAAGATAATTTCTCTTTATCGTCGTTCATCGATCTACTGAGATCCATAAGATAGTAAAGGTCTACAGGGTAATCTTCAGCTTGGGTATAGTTCATGTATATGCTGTATGATTGTCCTAAAAAATTAGAATAATAGAATACATATATTGAAGAACAGGAACGGATTCTAGTTGAACTTTACATCAAACATTAATTCTTAGGTAACACTGATTAATTTTTTTTGAGTTGTTTCCTGAAGTAAATATTTTTATCTCATTTGAGGGTAAAATATTTGAAATCTATTACAGAGGTATTATATAAATTCATTAGATATATAGATATTATTTTTTCCTTGTTGGCACTTTTATATGGATTAAGTGAATCAGTAAATTACATAAATGAAAAATATAAAAAGTAAATGTGTTAAAAACACATAATCCATGGACATGGACACCAGGACACCATGACATGGACTACAGAAGCTTCAAAACATATCCATGAGGGCAATATTAAGTTGTAATAAACACACATCTGTGGAATACATGTAGGAAACACTGTCTCTTATGTCTGCTAAACAAAGGATAACACTGAATATGCTAATATTTATATTTGAAATTAAACACAATATGTTGCCAAATTATCTGAGTGATCAGTTAACCCACACAAGTAGTATTCATACACACTCCACTAGAAATAGAATATGAAATTTTTATATCAACAGAGAACATGTTGTGACTCGTCGTATAGTTCTGGTCTGATTGCATTTAATAATTTGATAAGTCATAATATAAAAAGCTGTGATTCATTAAATTCATTCAAAAGAAAATGTAGTGAATATATTTCAAGTAATTGTCATCAATAATTCGTCTTGTTTTATAGTTTCTTGTTTTTAAAATGTGACTTGTCTCTATTTTTATATTTTTTTTGTTTTGTATTTTATAAGTGACTGACTGTATTATGAAGAGCATTATTTGCTAATAAAGAGTAATAATATAACATGATTGATAATATGTTTATTGTTCAAGAATAGATTCTTGTTACAAACAGGATGTCATAAATAAATATCAATATAAACATGAAGTATAAGATATAAGTGTATACAATATAAATGATTAAAATAAAATATAAACTATATATACATACATATGCAGAGGTTACTTGACAAGAGCTAGGACAACTAATAAAAATATATGTTTCACACACAGTTCAATCGCAGTTTCATCACATTCTAAATTACTAGTCAAAATATTCTTGTAGGTCATAGGCTTTATCACTTGATAGTTTTGTAGATTTCTTTCTAAATATGATGAAAGGAGTATCTTTGATTTCATTGGGAAGTTTATTGTATATCCTGATTCCATTATATATCAACGAGTTTTGAACCAAACATGTTTTTGGAATTGGTAGACTCAGTTCATTTGACCGCCTTGTGTGGTATGTGGCTGTAGCTGTAGATTCATAGTTCTCCCTATTTTTATGTATAATTGACATGGTTTCCAAAATAAATATTGAAATAACCATAAGGATTCTATGTTCTCGAAAAAGGGGTTTACATGAAATCCGCCATTTCGCTTTACATAAGTACCTGATAGCCCTTTTCTGCAAGACAAAAACCGACTGCATGAGTTGTTTACTGCAAACACCCCAAAAGGGTATACCATACCTTAGATGAGAGTCTATTAAGGCATAATACACTACTTTCGCTGCAACAAACCCCAGTTCCTTTGAGATGTTTCTCAGTGCGAAACATCCTGATGCCAATTTTTTGTTGGTGTGTGTGTGCAATATGCTGAGAGAATTTTAAATTTTCATCTAAATAAATTCCCAAAAATTTCAAAGTGGAGTTATTTTTTATCGTGTTATTGTCTAGGGGGATATCAGGTATATTACACTTGAATGCTGATATATTTGTTTTGCTAGTATTCAATGATAGAAGATTCGAGTCAAACCAATTCTTCACTTTTTTCATGTCTTGGCACATTTTGTTATGCAATCTGTTTTTGTCTTTGTCATGCCACACTAATGTGGTGTCGTCAGTTTCCTGTAAATGATATGTTGGTCAAATCATTAATGTATAACAGAAACAGTATAGGACCTAACAAAGGGCCTTGAGGTACTCCACAATTTATATCTCCCACGTCCGAGTTAGATGACGTTCTTACAAATTGTTTTCTGTCAGAAAGGTATGAACTAATCCAAATATGACTGTTGTCCCTAAAACCCTTTCCGAAGCAATATGCTGTGATTGACACAGTCAAAAGCTTTGGATAAGTCACAAAGCACTGCTGCTCTATTGATTTCATCCTCGAGACTCAAAAACGTATTATTACCAAAAAAAAATCTACATTTAGCATGAACAATGTGTTTTTGAAAACAATCTCATAATTTGTTTTGGTTGGTTTCCAAGTTTTGTCGTGGTCTTCTTTGGTTATAATCTCAAAACGTTTCAACTGCAAGTGCGGTAGTCATCTTCAGTAGCTTGGTTGAAGAACTGCAGTTGCAGTTGAAACGTTTGGAGATTATAACCAAAGAAGACCTTGACAAAACCCGGAAACCAATCAAAACATTGACGCAAGCCCTGAAAGACCACATTCCTTCATAAATCTCATAATTTGTTTGAATTTGTTCTTCAAATTGAAATTGAAATGAATGACATCAAAAAAAGAAACAATATATAAAATGAGTAATAAATAATGAGTACAAAATTTCAAAGAAACCAAATTACTGTGGTCTGAAATTAAAATGAATCAGTCAATGGGTTGAACAATAAGTGAAAGGTTATGAAATGTACAAACAACAAAAATAACCATATATGTATCTTATTTGGGATTTGAGGGCCATCATAATGTGGAATTTCACTAACACACATAGCTTTTTATAAAGGTGGTTCCATCTCACATGTTGAAAGCAGATTGTTTTGGCTTCTGTCAGTGTTTTCCTTTAGTAATTGGAATAGGAACACATTACCTTGGCTATAGAGAATTCAAAATAAGCGATACTCCTCCTGGTGTCGATATTGTGAACTATGGACCAATACATAGTTTATCTTAGTAGTTAATGAGTGTTTATGTTTATCGCTCTTATATCAATTCTTCCACTGAATTTGTGAAGATTTTGTCAATTATAATTTTTTCTCATTTCAAATATTAGTGATTTGGAATCCAGTTGAAACTATCAATACTATGAGTACCTCAATGTGACTTGTTGTCAAAAATATCTAAATGCTGTGACATCAATTTTCATTATTTTCCACAAAAAGTCAACTAAGAAAATTATAGCCTATCTTGGTATTTATGGAGTTACCAAGACATAGTTAGAACTCAGCTAGTCGATATTTGTTATGGATGGCCGTGGGAATGGAAAATACGTTTTATTTTATTCTGAATGGATAAAAAAGTCTTGGGGTGGCAGTCAAATGGATCCAACCAAAAAGAGGTGAAGAAATAGCTCAAAAATTCACGAGCTTCATAATAAATTGATAAGCAACAGGAAATATTTACAAACTGCAAGAACAGTTGGTGTACAATAACTTCAAAATGATTGCTATTTATTTGCAAACATTAAAAGTAGAAGAGGTATACACTTATATACACCTTGAATTCAAAGAATAATGCTAAAAATTAATATTACTATTAAAAATATAAACCTGTGGCTATTACTACACCAGTACGAGTGGGGGATTTTCACTAAATAATAATATTTATTCAATATACACAGTTACAAAACAGAAGTCAAAAATCATTATAAGGCAAATTAAATTAGGGAACGAAATGAGTCAGGGATAACTTTTATCCTTTTGAACCTACCCAACATCTACTTTTCAGTCAACCACAAATAAATTCAATAATCATTACCCCCTTTGACGGATGTTCCTGGGATCACGACATAATAAAGTAAATGAATTTCACTTACTTGCTCTCAATTTCAAATTCAGTCTTTGTGGTGATACTTGGACTATTTGGCCAGCTGCCCCACCTCCTGCACTTCCCTCAAACTGGCCACTCGTAGAACCACTGGCAGACCAATGTTCTGAGTGATTGTAACTTCCTTCAAAACCACCAACCATCATCCCACCTCCTCCTGAACTGCCTTTTCGTGCCCTTGTTAATTCGTAGGCCTGTATTGTGCTCAGGATATTGTCAGGATTTAAAACATATTCTTCAGGGCATTCCTTAAAGTGGGTTTGTGATGGTTGAAAACAACGAGCGCTATCGCCAAAGTTCTGTAAGTGAGAAATTGTTCAATTACTGTATCAGCAGGCTTTTGAATATTGCAGAAGCCACAGGGAAAGTCATACAATAGGTCATTAGATCATTAAAAACCTCTCTCACTGCATATAATGAAGAAAATGTTACTCTTAAGTTGTCTGACGTGTTTCAGCCTGTTGTCAATAAAACCAAGAAATTTTGTTATTAATTTTATTTAGTAATATATCTTAGTTTATTGAAAGTTCATCAAGCAAGCATTTGAATGATCTGATGTTGTCATTTAGTAACTCGGCTGAGTTTCTTTACATTCAAAAATATTATTGTATCATCTGCGATAAGAGGGAAACATCCAGATATATCAACTATAGTGATGTTATCAACATATAAAAAAATTAGGACCTAACACAGAACCCATGGTGAAAACTGTTTTTGGCCCACTTTGAAACTTCTGATTGTTGTTCGTTTTGAGTGTTCATCAATGGATGAATCATAACTCCATCTCTACCTTTATAAAACTCGTCCCAAATTTGACATATGAACTCTCAGACTATTGAACACGCTTTGCATATAAATCAGAAAATTGTATGCCACCAATCAATTGAGGGAAAAAATCTATGAAAAGGTAGCAGTCTCTTATCAATTATAAAGTTACATCTCAATATATCTAACGTTCTTTCTTTTTTTATTAAGACAAGCAGGCACTAAGATCTTATCTTTATCTCACATATTCCCTTTATTTGTTGAATCACCCTTTTTAAAAACAAATTACTTTCTGATACTATAGGGGACTTTCATGTCTCTAACTTGTTACAACCCTTATAGTAGGTATTTAAATGATTCAACAAATACAGTTTTATAATGTTAATCATATTTGCCGAAGGTTTGATGTTATCAAACTGGTTTGATAACACTGGTTGAAAATGGTGTTTATTTAGGATGTTAATGTTGGTTTTAGTGAAATCAGTTGTTAGAAATCCTTGGTTAAGATGTAGTGTAAACATGGTCAATCACTACCGAGTATCCCGAAAACCAATAAACCATGATGAAACTTCACCATGAGAGCATTATTCAACTTATGAATTTGAAAGAGTGTTTCACAAGTTTTTGTTTGAAATGATGTTTGAAAATTATTTTCAGGTACTCACCGGATCGTAACACCAAGCACATGATGGTGTTTGAATACATTCGTGGCACTTTCCTTTTGATGTGCATGGATTAAGTGAAGTGAATCTTTGGGGTATTTGTGCTATTACCACAGTGACTATCACAATGATTATAAAGCAATTCCTTGAAAAATATCTTAACAGGGACTCCATCATCTGAAATCGAAAAGCAAATAAAAACTTATATCATTTCAGAACAGTGATAACTTCTAGTTAGAAGGAGATTTCATATTAATTACAAAGAGTAAGTATTGTAATGGAAGGTACATGAAACTAACGAGAAGGGTTTGAAGTTTTTGTGCTTCACAATACCCTTTTCACATTGTAAGTAATGTGTAATGAAAAAATGTATATAACTATTCTACTAAGTATTGCGGCAATAATTAACCTCCTATAGCCTCACAATGAATATAAACTTGTCCCATCAACTATTGGAATACCAGTTTTTTAAATGCATCCGACTACAGTGTATGTTTTACCTTCCTTATAAGGTAAACTCTTTAGCAACAAGATCATTCTCAGTTTGAAGAACCACTGATATACCAAATGTATCAGTGTTCCAGAAATAAAATCCAAATTGCCCTTTATTATGTAATTTAGCACACATAGCCAATGAATAATTTATGAGATCTAGAGGGATAATTCCAACTAGGGATAGTTTAATTACATTCAATCAAGAAACAATTATTCTTTTGTACTTCATATGAAGTTTATTTACAATTTTTAGCAAATTTTTATATCATTTGGATCTATCATGGAAAACAAATAGTGAATGATCAAATATTTTTAGAATATGAGTCACTTATTTATAGGCTATTAATTCACAGAAAATCAGAATTATTTCGGTAGGCTGTTTTACTCATTTGGTATTGGACAAGGTGTCATTACAAATACGATTATTGAATGAATGAAATACAAATTTTAAGATTGCATCCACTTATTGGGAAACCTTCACTTCACACCCACACATACTTGGAAGTATGGAACTTAAGATTTTGATATCAAGTTTAAAATGACTAGTTTCGAAGAATTTATTGAAGATTAGAAGATATTTTTGTTGAAATTATTCATTTCCTGTTAATCCCTATACTTAGAAATCAATTTATAAAACAAATGGAAAATTTAAAAGTGGTGTTGTGTCCATTGAAATGGATAACTTTTGAATGTAATAAAATAACTATTTATATTTCATATTTGTATAAAAATCAGATAAACACTTACTTTATCTTCAATTCAGATGCTTCGATTTGTATTTCCACATCAGGGAGGGGACACCGAATGATTGCTGATCTGTTCACACAGGAAGTATCACAAACAAATCGTAGTGAGAAAGAATTGTGCAACCGAAAAATGATTAATATGGTGTAAGGATCTTTGTTGAGAAGTTACTCATTTCAAAAACATCCCAGCACATTGAATACGACCATTTTTGAAAAGAAATGGAAGGAAAAATGAAAATATTAATATCTCGGAGCAGTGACAAAAATTGTCAAGGTGTTGGAGATGACAATGACAAATGGCGATGACAGATGACAGGGACAAAACATCGACAAAGCAATCGGTTCGTATATACGAACCCTGCTGAGTGTCAAAAAATTTGTATTGCTTTGAGAAACTACCTCTTTTTTTGACAAGTATATTTTAGAAGAGTATTTGAATTCTTTGGTAAATCCACCGATGGATTCAATGGATTCATCTATTGCTTTATTTGAAACGTTGGAGTTTTTCTATTGGTCGAAGTAATGCAAATTATAAGCGATGGAAGTAAATTGTATTAAAACGATGATAAAAATTAAATAAAAACAACAATAAAAATTAATTGGCGCTCCGGGGCGACTTCATTGATTCCAGTGGCGCATTTGTTTTTTCAGCTGCACGAAAACCCGGAAAAACCTGCAGCACCACATCATCTGAAGATCTTGATCTAACAATGTCCTCTCTCTTATAAAACAAAATGTAGGGTGTCTCCAGAGGCTCCAATAAATTCAATGCATCGCCAGAACACTTCGTGACTTGTAATGTAATGCATTGAAATTTTTATGATGAATTTAAGAACTCGCCTTATTTGTGTTGAGAGAATAGGATGAAAGCAAGCATCTAGCTAGAGCCAACAGCGATTGTAACATAAGTAGAACGCATGAACTTTTTTCAAATTTTGTTTACGGTCTAAAGACGTGGTTTTTGACGGTAATTTTTGTTTGAATTAAAATTAGTCGTCATTGTTACGTTTCGACAACAGTCAAAAGAGTTTTTGAAGAGGAGAGAACGTTGAATATATACTTTTTGTATTTTAAAGTTTGACAAAGAAGGAGGTAACCGGAAATATGCTTCGGTCCGAAAGTCACTACCGATATTCAATAACTTCTCAACTGGAAAAAATAGGTTATACCTAACATTTGAACAACACTTCAGCAAAACTTATTCAACATAAAATACTGTGCTTATGTTTGTGTATGTGTTAGCACATTCTATATAGGTACCAGAAGTAAATGGTTGAAAAGATTAAAAAATGAGTGAATTCATCTCAATACCAAGGATCATTAACATGGATGTGATACATGCACTAACCTACACCAACCTAATTTGATTACATTTTTTGGATTCACATCTCACGTTTACGACTGATGAATTGGACAGCTATGGTCATTAGCCTCATAGCCACATGTTATGGGTGGGAATAGAATTTTAAATTGAAAGATTTATAATTCTTGCCTTTATTTTCAATATTCATAATGAAACAATATATCAACTATATACTGATATGAATACGTTTTTATTGATTATAAACTTTTTTGTCAAATAAATAGTAAATTGGATCATACGAGTTTGAGTTGTACCTATATATCTTCGTTCAGTCCATAACGAATCAGTTTCATCATCAAACTCTTTTGTTTCCAATCCATTAGTTGCAGCAATATATAGCTGAAAGCATTCTTATGGTATCGAATCGAAAAATGGACCTAAAGGTTTTCACTTAGTCATTGCCATTTTGTTGCGAGTATTTTTTCCTTATGGGAACACCATCCTTTTTGTCTTCAACAAATTATCAAAAACATATATATTAGCCATAGTCGGTTGCAGTTCGGTCTTATCCTTCACTGATGTGAAAAAAAAAGTTTGTGGTGTTGTTTCTTATACAATAGAAATATCTGACTTCTTAATGTCCTGAAAAATAAAAGGAAAATTCTTAGTATTCCATCCACAATAAAATTTTTGAACAATATTACGTGAAATATACAAGTGGAGAAAACTATAATATGTTTGAGATGCGCAAACCATTCGCGAAAGCAGGAGGATAGCATTACGTCGAATTGTCACTACGGTACTATCTACCCTTTTCACTAGCGCCAATAAAACACGAACATTCTTGAATTACTGAAACCTATCCGATGCATTAAGATTTAGGAAGATTTCGAAATGTCATTACGAATAAGGGTGACAATTCGTTTTGTTCTATATCGAAATCCTTTGTTAATTATGTTGAACAGATTCGAAAAATGCCCTAAACTTTTTAATGGAACTAGCTGATATTAATATCAGCTGAATGAGCCCCGGGTCCCATTGATAGTTATTTTTGATATTTTCCGATCCAATATGTGATCTGAACACCGAGAGGTACATATGAAAATGCAATGCCAGTTGAATGTAATAATGCTTCTTAACTGTTTTTTTGAATGATTTTACCCATAGGTAGATAATTCAGTATTATTGAATGAGAATATTAGCGGAAAAAGAGCAACTTGTTCTCTTATTAGGAATATACTTCTATTTATGGTTAATATCAATAATGTAACATTACCTTAAAGTTTGAGTTCAAATTTCAGTATTGTATTTTGGTTGAATAAACCAAATGAGTGAAATGGTACATTTGTTCATTTATCAAAAGGTCAATCAACATTACAAATTATTCTAGAATACTGAATTTGGAATAAATGAAGTAATGAGAAGATGACATCTAGGTAGGTACGTTCATAGTTGAATTTTTCATTAGCTCACTTGCTTTACCATTATTATTTCCAGTAAGTAAGTATAGGTATAAAAGATTATATTTTCAACAGAAGCTTACCTTATCTGGACACTTTCTTTCTTGTTGGGCTCGAACTTGAATATTTTTTTCATTATCAAAATAATAAACATATTCGAATCTACATTCATCATCATCGTAGTAAGTACACAAATTTTCATTATTATTTTCATCGACTGAAAAAATGGTTATTTACCTCATAGTGGTAGAAAAATAAAAAAAAATACCTATCACTTCAACTACAGCTATGGGAACAAACTTGGTACAATTCGCAATACAATCTTTCTGGTCTTTCAAAGGTCCAGTCTTATATTGTTGACACTGAACGCAGTCTTTGAACTCCATACATCTACCAGAACAAGTCTGCAAGTATCACATTAGAAACAAACACAATATAAACCTGAGAAATACTTACAGGACACTTCTCACAGAACTTTCCTGAGTAGCGTCCCTCTTCTGCTGTTTCACATCTGCAAACCCCGCATTCACATATTCCATGACCTGAACATAATTTCCCATTGTCAACTCCAGGAGCGTAACATGTTGCATTGGATTTTTTGCAAGCGCAATTCGAACCAGTCCAGTCATCTTTACAATTGCAAACACCACAGTTACAAATTCCATGTTCAGGTCCGCTACAGAGTTCGCCATCATTACGTTCGCAAGAAAAGTTGTCACATTCACAATATTTCCCAGAAATTTGCTAAAAATTACAATGACGTAATATATACATTTTGGCGTGGGATATATGGACTAGTACTTTAAGGTACGTTAATAAAAAATCAAAACCCCAAATATCGTATATAACTTCTTGGAGTGTGGTTGAAACGCTGAATTAAGTCACAAAAATACTATAGATGCCTGTTAGCAGATGTCGCTAGATCAGTGAATAAAAATGACATTATCAGTTCTAGAGATGGAACTATATTAATTTATCATCATGCCTTTTGTGGCATGATGCGGCAATGCATCAAATCAAAAATTATTGTTCGATTTTTTGGCTACATTGAGAAGTTTTACAGATTATTTTTAACTTATTGAATTGTACTGCCGAATGGAATAAATTCATTATTTATTTTATTTATTTAAAAAAAATCCCGAAACACGTCATATGTAAATTATAATTTGACATTCTTCAGCCTAAAAATGCCACCCCTACCTTCAACCCCCTTCGAATGACAGGTACAACCCCCAATTTTTTAAATGGGAAGTATAGGTTTGTCATATATCGTTTGAAAGGTCTCATTTTCTATTAAAAAATGTTACCGCTTTTAAGTTTATTGAAACAATTAAGATAAAATAAATTAAAATCATGTGATTATCAAAATTCGATAAAATACAATCAAAAACTGAAATGTAATGCAAAACGTAATGAAATGTAGAATACGAAAAAGAAATATGGATATTAACGAAGTAGATGTTCAAAATGTTCTTCGCGAACGTCCTAATCTCAAGTAAAACTGACTTCTAACATTATTTAGTAAATCAGGCGTGACCGACCTAATCGCTGGAGTTATTCGTTTTTTTTTTAAGTCATTCAATTCTGAAGGTTTAGTTTTGTACACATTGCTCTTTACATATTCCCATAGAAAGAAATCTAATGATGAAAGATCAGGTGATCGCGCTGGCCATTCTTGAGGGTTTCCTGGATCAGGAAACTGCTAAACTTGGAATTACATTATTTTGAAGTAGTGCCAAATAATTATCGCCATTCAAGTTGCCCTCTATGAAAAAGGGACCAATAATATGGTTTCCTACAATCCCTGCTCAAACATTAACTTTTGAGGGTATTGCGTGTGTTCTTCTCTCATCCAGTGAGAATTTTCCGTTGACCAGAAGAGGCAATTTTGTCGATTAGCATACCCGTTAAGAGACAAAGTACACTTATCAGAAAGCATAACGTCTTCTAATTGGATATTGTTATCCAACATGTCCATCATTTGCTCACAAAAATAGATTCTTCTATCAAAATCGTCTTCCATGAGCTCCTGAGTAGGTATCAATTTATAGAGATACATTTTATTTTCTTTTAATATGTTTACTAACATTGAATGCATTGGATGCCTGTCTACTCCATGTATGTGGGTTTTCCTCAAGCTCAAGCATCACATTCAATTTGAGTTCATCACTCATTGCATTGGCAGCTGCTTTTTTTATATGCCCCACATGAAAAAGCTTGCGAAACTGATTCTCTATTTTGCTTATTATTCCTTGAGATATGGGCAGTAAATTAGGAAATAGGCGAGCTACTTCCTGTTGTGTTCGGGTTTTATCTCCGTAGCAATCATTTGTAAAACTGTTATTTTATGCATTTCCGTTAATCTAACCATTTGTCAGACTTGAAGTTAACGAACATTAAACTTAAATTAAAATACTGACAACTAATATTGTAACATGCAAAACAAGTTGACAAGTCGTTTTAAAATAACGTTTACTGTTTTTTCAAGGACACCATCTAAAAAAACACTGCTATGGTTTTTGTTTACTGCTTTCTTATTATCAATCCCTCAACATGAAATACGTTTTGAGTATATTGCAATAAGTTTTGGGTGTATTTTATCGAACTTCGGTAACTACATGATTTTAATTTATTTTATCTTAATTGTTGCAATAAACTTGAAAGCGATAATATTTTTGAATAGAGAATGAAGAGACCTTTCAAACTATATATCACAAGTCTATACTTCCCATTTAAAAAATTGCGGGTTGAACCTGTCATTCGACGGGGGTCGAAGGAAGGGGTAGATAAAAAATCTGGTAATTTCGAGATAAGTTTCCTAGAAACTGGTATATTCTATTTTCAAAAGCAAAAGGTAGAAAGATGTGGAGTGACAAATATACAATAAAAACTAAGTATGAAAAGAAGCAGACGACAGAGTATGGCTCAGTAGGTAGATTTAGTTTTCGACTGTTTTAGAGAAAAGTGAACCAGAAAAGTTTACGAGATCAAACAATGGCATATCTTTGAGTGTTGAAAAATATTGTTTTTTTTTTCGGAAGTGAAATAAAATCATTGAAAAACTTGTTATACCAAACAATGCAATACGAAAAATAACTTCGTGTTTATATTTCACAAACGATTCACTTATTGAATGTTAAAAATTGGGACTTCTATTGTCTTGAAAAAGCGTTTTAACAGATTTTAAATCTATAGAAGAGCAAATGAAATAAAAATTATTGAAAGATTAAAATTATTTTAAATAATACAAAATCATCGGAATGAACTATTCGGATGAGTTAGTTAAAACAGAAAAAAAAATGAGCAAAAATGTATTAGCAATGAGTAAAAAGAATAGAAAAAAAGAAAGAATAGAAAAAGTAAAAATGCTAATTTGGGATTATTTTGGTCTTGAAGTTATCGAAATCATCAACTGACTTTTTTAATTTTCATTTCATTTTCGTTAATTGTGAATATTTGATAATTCATTTATTGTTAACCAATTTTCATTTTCATTTAAGGCCACAATAATTTGTTGGCTTTACAAATTAGCATTTTAACTTTTCCTTAATTCATACTCATTGCTCATCCGGCAATTTTTAGTATTTTGAATTATTTAAATATTTAATTCTTCTTCATTTTATGATTTTTTCATAGATAATGGAAGTCCAAACTTGTTACATCAGCCAAGAAACTTAGTCAACCATATACACGATCCACTTACTGTTAATAGTCAAAACAACTTTAAATAACATCCTACATACTACATATACATCATTTCTTCAAAAATTATGTAGTTAAATTAACAAATTAACTGTAATGTTTCATCTTTACAGTTGACATTATCACTTCAATTATGAAATAATTAATAAAAATGTTCACCTCATCGAAGTTCTCCCTTAATTCACATTCACAAACACCACATATGCATTGTCCCCTTCCCGAGCACTCTGAGCCTGAATTATCAGGAGGAATACAGTCTGGGGTAGTTGTATTTCTAAATATTTCATTCATAATACATTCACAGTGTTTACCAAATGACCCTGGATAACATTCACATACTCCACACTTGTAGGTTCCGAGATAATTGCAGGCTGTAGCATTTTCCATATAAAACTACAATGAAAATATCTATAAATCATAAACAAAAATACTTTTTATTAATAGGTACTAACTCACCCTATCGTTTGTTTTTTCACAATCACATTCACAGATCAGTTCCAAATCGATAGTCAAACTTTCGTTAATTCCAACAGGATAGATCTGAATGGTTTGAAAGTAATCAGATCGTTTTTCGGGACATTTCAGAACTTCTATTTCAATTTGGAAATCGATTATATTTCCTACCTAGAATAGCAGTATTAATTCAAAATTTTCATTATTGCAGATTGTTTTATTATTGTAGATAACCAGATACATATTTCAATATTCATTGGAGAGAGGTGTAAAATGCAATAGCGAAACCCAACTGTTAATATAACAAATGGATTTGATGCAAATTTAATATTTCGAGTAACAACTAGATTTAGAACAATATCACCTTTGTTACTAACTACCAATGCGAACATTTTTGAAACAAATATATATACAAATTTTTCCCTATGGAAAAATATTAGTCATTCATAACAAAATAAAACCGATATGTATGTGAGGACGTAGATAATAAGGTTTTAAAGGTGAATCATAATTAATTTGGGTTAATATTCGACATTTTCCTTAAATTTACTTCACAGTCTACAAAAACAGTTTTAATAGCATTATTATGCGACCTTCTGTAATTTTTTCAGAATTTTGTGGATTCGATTCAAATTATTTTGTCAACTCCTAGGTCTTAAAACTCCTTGCCAACTTTTTAGAAGTTGTAACATACATACATTAAACAAAAGTGTTAACTCATAATAATGGAAAATAAAAAAGAGAAGATACATTTTTTGGGAAAGAAAGGTTTTTGCTTTCTATTTCTTCACCTTGATACAAAAAAATCTCTCCTAAAAATGTACCCTTTCAATTTGAAAATATACCTATTCTAGATTTCAGATTTTCTGATTATAAATTAGTCTATTATCTAACATAGTCCTTATGGAAGTGAGCATTTAGTGAATATAGTAAAATAAATTGAATGATCAGTAACAAGACAACCTCGAATTCTCCGCCACAAATATCTACCTGTAGAAACTTTTGAATTTTTGGAAAATGTGGACAAAATATCTTTATACACAAAAATGTGGAATATATTTCACATTTTTTGTATAAAGATGAAGAAGTAGACAGCCAAAACCGTTTTTTCCCAAAAAATTATCTCTCCTAAAAATATACCCCATTCAACTTAAATATTAGTATATGTTTTGATAAACACTTCACAGAAAAAAAAGTGTTATGTTACATAAACATCCACCTTGGAATTTTTCTCAATTTTCCTGCCTGTCGTCGTTGTTGAAGGAAGGATATCTGTATATTCAAAACCTTCCTCCAGGCATATACTATACTAGAGTGTCTATAGTTCGTTCAGTATTGTCTGAGAGTCAAATAATTTCAAGAATGCAAACATGTCGCTACATCAAAGAAAGCAACATAGTTGTCTCAAGCAAATAGCACTGCCATTTACCCACAAAATCATTGAGATATGTCTACCCTCTACATCTCTAACGCCGCTAACGAGCCATTAAAATAAGGATATGCGACAATAACGCGAAAACACCGACAAAGAATGCGAAAATACCGCCAAAAGAACCATTCGATGTTTTTTCTGATATTACGTTTAAGATAATATTAATAGGAGTCGGACTGGGGGTATTAATATAGATTTTCCATTGATATATTCTGTATTTTGAGCAGATAATTAAAATATGGTGAAAACTAATTTTGTTTAAATATAAAACATTATAATTTGTAGTTATGAATTAGAAGAATGTAAAATAAAAATTGCTAAGTATACCCTGATCCAATGATACCCTGCAGGTTAAGGACATCATGTCTATTTTAAACCAAAATGGGAATAATAAATCAACCATACAGAAATTTTGTTCTCTACCCAGTGTTACACATAAAACCCCAGGTGTTACACCAAGACTTGGCCGTGTTCATGATTTGAAAGACATATGTATACTTCTCATACAGCACGTTATGTATCTTATAATGATTCTCCTCCTGAATATAGTATATGTGACATGGTGCTCTCTCTATACCTCCGGCGTGCAGAACTATCAAACTCAATAATTGAAAGTAGTTTTTGCAGTAGTATGGATGTATTTTTCTCAACTCAAATTCATTCATTTCATTCATCATTTATCTACTGTAGATATATTTGAATTCAGGGATTATTGTGCAAATTCATTGTGTATGCGAAATGTTTTGATACGGGAGGATTCATTTAAAAATATTGTAATGAATCTGAAGCTGGCCCTGACCGATATCTCAGCCACCGCGATAAGCCACCGCGAATAATCCAGGCCAGTGCCAAAATCCCTAGAGAGATCCGGAGCGTTCGTTGACGATATAAAAAGGCGCCACTTCTAGTCGGCCAAGGAGTCTGTACCTAGAATTCGAACTGTAAAGATAAATTAAGCGTTAGTTACTAAGTGTTGTAAATAAATTAGTTGTGGAGGTGAAATATTGTTAAAAATTAATTTGTTTAGGACAGTTAATTCTTTAATTCGTTAGAATATTCTCAACTTGCCTTCAAATTGCCACATATATTTGTATTCACCAAAGCTCCCATAGAATTCAGACATCTTGTGAAAAATGTAATGCTGACGTCGGTAGAAGCATTGTGCTTCAATTCAACTATAGATGATATTTGTTCATATTGCTCTTCTATCAGTGCTCTAATATTGGAAAAGTCTCCTTCCTGTTTGCCCACCATTGCTCCTTCAATTGATTTGGTGAGATCTACATACATTCCAAGATTTGACTCTGTAACTGCGAAAATAACGTTAACTGAATTGCTTTTAACTTTCAAACCGATTTGCTTGATAGATGGATAATCCTGTCGAGAAGACTGAAAGTGATTTCTCTCTTCTGACAAATGACACTGACCATCGTTGGGCTTGCTAGTTATACCAAGCTAAAAACATGAATATAAGTAGATACTTTTTAATCATTACTACAAAAAATTACCTTTTCAACTTTTTCATAGTGAAATCTAGCATCAGTTGCGAATACAAGTAATCGTCGAGCTTGTTTTCTCCAGCCAATTTGATCTTGACACACCACTGCTTGCATGATAGAATTTAATACACCTGGAGCATCTAAATTTTCGATTAGATTGGCTTCTTTCACCATTTGCTACAGTGTAAAACAATAAGTTACTATCTTCATTATTATTATGTTATGTTATAATATGTCTATATTTATCATATTTCGAAACAAAATCTCCTAAAATTTGTCTCCCCCAAATTACCTACACAGTAGGTTCTGGTAAATGCCTGCCGAAAACCAACTACTTCCCGGCTAATACCACGCTGGACATTGAGTTATATCCAACATACATTTATGTAAGATACCTCAGCGACGTTAGTCTTGCAGTCTTTATACCGTTAAGGATGATAGTTGATGTTAGCTCATTCATATATTTCGTTGTGTAATGTTCCTATGAATGATAACTGTTTCAATTCCTTAACGAATGATTAGAGTACAAACTGAATGGAAAAAAATTGGTCTCTTTTTTCCAGTTTGTATACGAAAGAAACTAGTTATTTTCTTTCTTTGTTTTTCTGAAAGTTTTCCGTATTTTTTGTTCAATGGTGGGTAAGTAGAAAGGTAAAAAACCCCTTTTAGAAAAAACTAGTCTGTTTAAAAAACATCTGTTTAAAATCTGTTTTTCCGTTAACCAGCTGTCGCACCCCTACGAACAACAACCCTCAGAAGTCGAAACTCGTGCGAGCTAAGAATTAACGAGGTCTTACCTTTTAAAGTGTGATTCCTAACACTCCTTGAACATTCCCTTTTCATTTTGAATGAATGACAATATTAAAACTCCATAATACAGTTTATTGTATGATTTTCACTATAAAGGAATTCACAAAAACCGCGACACGTGTTTCGCTTCACAAGCGTTGAGAAAGCTATTGTATAGTGTCGCGTTTTTTGTAAAACCCTTTATAGTGAAAATCATACAATAAACTGTATTAATTACTTTCAATATGGATTTTCATCAAGTATCAAGAATATTAAATATTCTGAGATTCATTTTTCTGAGATTCATTTGAAAAGAAAAATCAGAAAAATACTTGGAATATATGTTCTTCTGGAAAATTCCGAATACTTCCGGAGATATCCTGAGAAAACGACAAATATGCGATTTCCTTTTTTCTCTCATGTTATTTGAGGAGCTATCAATAAACAAAATCACATCCTCATAGCAACTTTTTTCGTTCTACAACATGCAGTATTTTGAATCCGACGTTTCGCCCTTGAGAAACCATCTCCAGCTTTATTTTTTATACGACACGATATAGTAAAATATCCTGTATTGTATGAAGTTTTTCAAAACGAATTCAATGATTATTCACAACTCATTATTTGAAAATGGTTTTTGGTCAGAAATAACGATTTTGTTTACTTTTTTTAAACAATTGGCCAAGTTAAAGCGACATTCGTCGGGTAACTGATTAAATTAAAAGGCGGCTACAGCTCAAAATGATAGTTTCTAATTAAAGCTTCATTTCTTACTAAAAATTTTTATTTTCATATCCACATCATTTGAGATGTCTAGTCTTATTAATGCTTCAAAACAAAAACTACCTCAAATAAGTAGACATTTCGTTATCATGAAATTAATTTAGTAAATCTGGATGGTGGTGGAGTTGCCATATTCGTTAAATCTTATCACAACTAAAAAATATCTCGCTTAAATATTAATAAAGTTCAAGATATTTCGAATATGCTGCTACTGAAATAACTGCTTACAATTCTAAATTTCTTATCAGCTGCCATTATAGATCTCCGTCTACTGACAGTACAATGTTCCTATCAAAAATGGATACATTTTTAATTAAATCCTGCTCTATTGATGAGCCCTACTACACTCTCAAACGAGCGTTCAATAACCAAAACATTTATTATTTCAAAACCTTACTGTCATGTGAATCTTGGGACTTCGTATATCTCAACAACATTGAGTTTGACACTAAATTTTCCAAATTCTACTCCTTATTCCTCAATCTATTTAAATCTAATACCATTGTTTTCTCGCTTAGAGAAATGGACTGCAGTATATTAGTTAGAGCTAATACTAAATCTATTGTGCAGAAAAAATCAGTCAAATTCTTAGGGTTGAACATTGACTCCCAATTATCCTGGAATGATCATATTGACTCTATTTCTATAAAATTATTCAAGCATTGTTTCGTCATTTGGAATCTCAGAAATTATGTCCCTATAAATATTTCATTAAGTTACTACTATGCCTATGTTCACTCAAATCTAAATTATTGCTTAGTCTGCTACGCTAACAGCAGCAAATTGAATGATCTGTTGATTGCTCAAAAAAGATACTAAGAACCATGTGTTTAAAAAAATATGGTGATTTTTGTAAGCAGTTATTTACTGAGTTACATATTTTAACTGTGATACCCATGTATATTTTAAATTGTGTCACTTATATTAAGAATCATTACCATGAGTTTCAGCAAATGGATACTATCCGCATAGCTACTCTCAGGCAAAATTATAATCTGATAGTTCCTGTACACAAATTAACATCTGTATCAAACGGACCTCATGTTATGTCTATAAAAATATTCAATAAACTTCTAACATTCATTCAGAAAATTTCAAATCCCATTAATTTCAAAAATTGCGTTAAAAATATTCTCTACAAAAATGTCTTTCATTCACTTGATGAATATTTTCAAACTGATCTGGCTGCTTGACATCACGATTGTTTGCTTGTTAATATTCTACTGTTTATACTATGAATTGTTTTCAATTGTTTTATATAATTATCTCCTATATCTACTATTGATTTTTTTTGTATGTTCCATATTTTATCACTTGATATTTTTCAACTTCAATCTTTACTGTGTATATGACAATTTCCATGCTTGTAAAAAGTCTCAGGAAAAATAAAGTATTGTATTGTATAATGAATATTCACTGAAAAAACAATAATTAAACTGAAACTAAGTAAGTATTCAAAAATAACAATAGGAACTTTAAACATTAATAACAAAACTGTAATAAAAAATTATCAACACCTATTTATAAATTGTTCAAACTGTAAGCCTTCTGTTTCGATGCATTTTGCACTAAGCCGACCTAGTTTCAATATGCAATGTTGAATAAATCTGGCGGAAATTGACCAAATTTCTATAATTGAATCGAGTCTCAATTGGTTAATATCATCTAGTATCTCGAGGTTTACACGATTCTTGGGTTAACCTCATAGAAAATAATCTAGAGGGTTCAGGTCTGGGTTTCAAACAGGCCATTGCACAGGTCCCAGTTTTCTAAACCACGTAATTGGGAGCATTTAATTCAAATTAGCTTTGATCAATTGTCCATTATGGAGAGGGGCGCCATGTTGTTGCCACGGGGCCAACCAAAACTGCATTCATCGGTCCATTATATTAAATTTTATATGGTCGGTAGTTAATCAAATTCAAAGTTCACCATATTCTTATTCTGGGCAGTTGCATTTCATTCTTAAAATGCCTAGTTGATCCTCGAGGTGAGTGATTTACGTTAAATAAAAAAATATCAATAGTGAAATTAATTAATTGTTAATATTTCAAGACAAAATTTAAAATATATTGTTCTCCCTCAGCCTTTGTTCGCCGGCCACACTATTTTCTAGGTTTGTCAAAACTTCCAAATTCCAACAAATTCTAATCCAGTTTGGCAGTGATTATCATGCGGCTGCAACCGTTTAGGATATTGTTAAACGTATCTGTCACTAAATTTGGAAACGGCAATTTCTTTTTTTATTGAAATTGGAAATGGAAATAACAATAATTTGACGTTTCAGTTAAACATTGACATTTATATTTATATCCATGGCCGCATTTCATTTTAGCTAGTTTCACGACTAAATGTTTTGACCAAAAACCATTTTCAATGAATGGATTGTGATAAATCATTGAATTCTTTTAAAAAAGTTCTATCTATCTATTATATCGATACATGGGAGATATTTGAAGAAACTATTATTGAAGAACTTCATTAATGCCATAGAACCTAAGACACTTATTTTGGTGTTCAATTTACTCCAATCCATTCATAAACAGTTATGTCAATTTGAAGAATAACGTTAAACCTTTCTTGGAAGAGAATACAAAACACTGTTAATTTGAATAAAGTTTGGTGGACTATATAGTTAATAGTTTGTAAACGTCCTTATGAATGAAAAGTAGGCAAACATGAGCCTGTTAGAAAATCTGGGAAAACCCAGGAACTGAAGATATGATTCAATCAATTAGGTAAATATCTAGGCAATAAAATACAAATATTGCTGTTCATGTTTTTACCACATCACCAAAATAAATTTCATGGAAAATAAAATAAAACATTTAAATGAGGCAGGAAATTGTCAATAGGATTTACCCGAAAACCCAAAAATTAACGTCAGAGTCAACATTTGAAGTTGAAATGATTTACGCGTGCAACTAATTTGGCTCTACAACTTAATAATCTATTATTTCCAAATGAGTTAGTTTATTAATATTTTGTTGCTGATAATTTTAATGGGTATTATTTTAGGAGGACACAGAAAGGTGCTTCATTGGGTATGATAAACAGCATTTCAAAATCTAGCACTCATAACGTAGAATCATCACCAACACAAAAAGCGGTAACTCAATAAATGTTGATAGCAGTAATATGATTTGATTAGGCGACAAGAGCTATTATTTGATATATTCAGCCAACTTACTAAAAAGTTTTGTGTATTATTCGACAGTTTCATGGCATGTTTGAAGCCATGATGTGCATCACAGTCTTCACATGGATGTGTTAGACTATAACGAAACAAGAAAGTTTACTTATAATAAATAGGTAATATATTCATGCACTGTTCATTAACTCATAAAATAAACATACCTACCTTCTAGCATGTACAAAAGACAATTTTTAGTTCATATTTGATACTTTTGAAAATTATAGTCTTTGCTAGCTAGTAGATAATTTTTCATCAACATACAGGGCTTTCCAGTTGAAATGAGCCATTAGCTATCGAGACAAAAAAATGATACTCGTCAACTTTAAGAAAGTGAAACTAAACAAAAAAATTCATATCATCAATTGTTGGAACTGAGCACCGTCAACTTGCATACGGTTACGTTTTCCCCGTGGGTTGACCAATAATTGACTACACTGAATAATCAAATTTAACTTTATTTCACTTTGAATACAATAAATACTTCAACTTTTATTTGAACGTCTATCGCCTTACTAGATCACTCCGCGTACCGCACTGTAACGTCCACTTGACTGTGTCTATATGCTCGCAGCTAGCGTTTATAGGTATAACGTAATCGAATACGCAAGAAAATTTCGTCAAAATTCTCTCGAAATCGATAGCATTATTCTCGCTGCTTCTAGAGTGGTGGGGAATCATCGTACATTCGCGCGCTCCGAGCTACGTCACCATTGGTTTATGGCTACCAGTAGCGGCCGGCGTTATTTTCTTTCGGGCATAACTTACAACAATATAGTACGTCTTATAGACTTTAGATTCCCACCATCCCTATATAAAAAGTCCAGTGGAGTCAAATCGACGAATCTTGGTGTCTTTTCCAATCCATCGACCCGGAAAGTTATTATCGAAAAACAGTCGCACTGGGACAACGCAATAGGAGTCTCATCTCATTAAATATTACCTCATTTCGCAGTAGATAATCTAGTTTGGATAGCGTTACTGCATATTCAGCAGATTGAAATATCCTCTACCATTTAAGTTTGATTTAAAAAAAATGGAAGTATCATATGGGTACCCGAAATTTTTATCCAAACCTTTATTACTTAAGGATATTGGAATTAATCACGGGTCTGACCCCTCTTGATCTGTACGTTAAGGATGTTGCGTTAATGGCCATGGTACGATTGAGCACGGCTGGTGTAAACCTCGAAGTGGGAATGGGTCAATTGAGGCTGGGCCTGTGCGCTTACTGCGCAACCTCTGCTACAGGCAACAAGCGATGCAATTGAACACAGGTTTGTGTTTAATAAAAACTACAAAATAAAAATTAAGCAGAACATAGAGTCAGATGAAACAAATGCAATACGGATTTATACAGACGGCTCAAAAACCAAAGAAGGCTCAGAGTGAGGAGTGTACTTTAGATCACTAAGCCTAAGAATTAGGTGGGAAATGGGAAAAAATACCAGCGTGGTCCAAACAGAACTGGCTGGTATCTCAATCGCTACAAAAGAAATAACCAAGAAAGGAATTTTTGGCAAAACATAACAATCTGCACTGACAACAGACAAGCCCTATTAGCCTTGAACAGACGACGTATAACCTCAGGACTAGTACTAGAGTGTCACCAAGATTTAACCAAAGTCTCGGTAGATAATAATATTATCCTGGGGCGGGTTAAAGGGCACGACAGGTGTAAAGGTAATCGCGTTGCCGACTCTTCAGCCAATCCTTAAAGACATGGGACGAAACTGAAGGATGTAATCTTGCCAGGATCACCTTGGGCGACCCTGGGAAGCTGGCGCCGAAGAAATATCTGGCAACGACCAGGAAAAATCTACGCCTAACAGTAGAATTTCTGACTGGCCACTGTCAACTAAGGAAACACCTCCATAATATGGGGCTAGTGAACACACCTCTATGCAGGATATGTGAATTGGAAGATGAGACTGTCAGGCATGTCCTGTGCGAGTGCCCGGAGTTATCGTTAATAAGAGAGTGTGTGTTCGGCGAGTCTTGGCTTACACCTGCCGATATAAAGGAGATGTCTTCCAGTGACCTGTATTTCCTGGAAAGGACAGGATGGACGATGACCTAGGAGGACAACTCCTCGGGAGGATATGTCTCCCAGAGACCTGTCCACCTTCCTGGAAAGGACAGGATGGACGATGACCTAGGAGGAAAACTCCTCGGGAGGATATACAATGGGTCACATGTGGCCTAAGTACTGTGGGCTTACACTTACCCTCTCTACTCTACAGATACAGATACTTGAGTATATTGGGTGTGAATTACCAAATTAGAATGTATGGAGTGATTCAACGACAGTATCAGAAATTTTTACAATTTACTTGCCCATTCAAATAAAAGATACATTCATCCCAGAAACATGTGATATACAACAAAGCTGAACTACGCATCTTTGTACAATTTACAAAAAGTTTTTATTGTGTAAGGCCGTAAGGCAATTTGTGTTGATAATGAATTCTGAAAACTTCTGTACGATTCACTCCTTATGTTTTTCGTTGAAAACACGAGATTCGTCTTTGCAGATTTGTCATATTTGTAGTAAAAACTCACTATTTCAATCCGTTTTTGAAGAGTACAAACCATTGTTTAAGAATCGTATAATTAAGAACGATATAATAACTCGAGTTTTCAAATAGTGAAAATTTGTGTTCAGGTTGACCTCCTAGTTTGAAATTGGATGAAATGTAAAAAGGAATATGTATTTTATTTTACTACATTGCTCATCGTTGTTATGTCAAAATTATCGTGACTATTATTTCCCTTTGAAATTTTTTAAACGAGGGTGTTTGTGGAGTGGGGTGGCTGATGACAAGGTTTTGATTTTCAAGTTGATATATACCCCCCAGAAAACTGAAGTTGACGTGTTTCTCGATTTCTTCAACCTCAATATCAAATGACTCATTCAGGGTAGCTCGTTTTAACTGGAATGCACTGTATAACAATTTAGAGGTACATTGATATCATCAAAATGAACATTTCAGTAGTAGGAAAACTGGGTTATTGAAATAGTAGATGGAATTAATCGAAGATGAGAATACATGAGAAAATCCTATTTTCAATCGATTTGCCTCAAATCAATTGAATTATCTTAGTGAAAATGAAAAAACAGATATAATTCAGTTAGCCTATACTTCACATACATGTAATTTCAAACTGGAGTCTCACTATAGAAAATATGAAGGCGGTTAAATTGGGGTAAAGTTGTAACCAAAAAATGCGCCGTTCGGAAAGTTTTAAAACTTTTGTGAACTAGTTTCCAGTTTTTTCCGGCTTTATTTGATGAACTATTTCAATAATTACACATTTTCATTACCACTCTTCTCTACATGATGATGCTCTACGTTTCTTAAGCCCACCATCATCTTTATTTTGCCTCATGAACTCCATATCTGATGTTTTTCTGCAGGCAATGATTTTCCGATCTGTCATATTTAATTGTCATTTTCAAACACAGTGAATCACTATTGTCGATAAAACTGAATTTCACCAATGAAAAAATAGGTAATACGATGAAACTATAGAAAAATCGATAACGCTTGTGTTGAAACATAGAAAATATATCTGAAGCATTTCATGAGACAACACCTTCATCGAACTTAGTTCAAATATTGGAGATAAATCTTGCTGTGTTCTTTTCGAAGTAATGTGAAAAAAAATATCAATAATGAACTTTGTTGAAAAAATTGGATATGAACATAAAATACTTTCAATGAAACAACAAAACAGTAGGTCATATGACCATAAAGGGGAAATGAAAATATTTTATTTCTTATAAAATATATCATCGAATAAAATCGGGAAAATTTCAGAACGATTTTAAAAAAATTTGGTTTTTCCCAATATTGTAGGAGATATTCGCAATTCCAAAAGTTTTAAAACGAGATTTTGTTGCTCATATGAATGTGCAACCATCTTCGTATCTTCGTTTGAGAGTCAAATTTGAAATACCCGGTATATTTAAGTATAATGGAAAATCACCTTATAAGAAAAAAAATTGTCGGTCCAAAACAAAATAATATTTCACTTACTTAGCTGAAACGAAACTCCCGAATCCCAGCCGAAAATTTGATGTCAGATTTTTCATGGTATAAACTAACTGCTCACCCAGGGAGGATAACTTCTCTTTATTGTTTTCCGCCGTTTTTGTGAAGCCCATAATGTAGTACAGGTCTACGGGGTAATCTTCGGCCACGGTGTAACTCATGTATATACTGTAAGGCTGTCCTAAAATATTAGAATGATAGTACATAAAACAGTTCCAAATATTAATATTAGAGAAGTGAGGAACTTGGTATCAGTTTTGATCGAAAGTTCATTTTTGAAACATTCCCTTATCTCATTATTGATTTTTTTTATGGTTGAAAACCCGGGCTTATAATCTCACGGTAGATAATTATTCATTGCAGATTAGGTTCATGTTTTTCCAAAAATAATACCCAAATATTAGGAAAATTAATATTTCAACAGACAATTTCGAAACGTTTATATTAATCAATGTTCCTACAGAGTAGAATCTAATGAATGCCTGAAGGGAATCAACCACTTTCCTTTCTAGTACCACGATGGATATTGATTTATATCTAGTCGATCACCCTCAGTACACGCCAATGGCTGATGGCGAGCGATCGCGCAGGTATACTCTCCCAACTGAATTACTATTGGATTACGATAAGCCCCTTGCCGGCTAGTGTCGTTCTCATAATTAGTTTTAATTAGGGAAGCAAATGGAACATGACTGATCCGTAATTTCTTTTCAAATTTTATTTAGTATTATAGATAGGTACAGTTCATTATAATGTTGTATAATGATACACCTATCCAAAAATGAACTTCAATCAGTCACTATCTGAATACAAATTTCCATCATCTTCACTGCTGTTTGTTCTGCCTTCGTCATTTAAATTTACAATCACTGGATTTACCTCTGTTTGAACGTCTGTTAATATTTCATTTTCCCAATATTTCCGCTTTATATCTACTACATGTCGGCAACACTTTTGCCATTCCTCGGAAGTGATTAGATCAAACTCGTGTTCCACCAGTTTCCTCACATCTTCCAACTTGAAAGTTACATTCTTTTGGGTCACGTTGATTTTGTTATTTCTGTAGAATAATAGAACTGGATAGTTTTCATTCGTTCCCAATGTTCCCAATGGGATTCAAATCTGGATGGTAGGGTGGAAGTCGCAAAACGTTATTATCCGTATTCAAGCAGAACCTCACCAAATTTGTATCTAATATTATGCTTTTTATTTGCCTTGATCAACTCGTATAATTCGGGCTTGAGCATGTTGGGGGTGAACATTATTCTTTTTTCGTGCAGCCACCTCACCATGTCACCCTTTTTTAGAATTTGTCTTGGGGTCTGGATTGATTTGAATATTATGGTATGGAGCATCTACCAACTACCGAATTCACAGGTGAATTTGGGAATAACTCTTCTTGTAACCATTTACCTTAATTTTCAGAATTAATTTTTGAATGATAATTCCCTGATGTTGTGCCTGATTTAAGAATAAGCCGACAATTAGGTATAAAGCCCATGCGTCACCTCCTGCATGGATAATAATGAGTTTTGGTCCCTTCGCAATATTTTTGAATAACTCTTTGGTAGATTCATCCGTCCAGTTCTTGGAAAATGTATGAACACTATGAAGGTATGTTTGCTTTTCAAGCAAATTTCAGGTCAATTCTTGAGTATATTAAGAACAACTGGTGGTTCTTTCTATACATATGAATAGACGTAAAGAAGCTACTTTCACATGGCAGTTTAACCCGATAACTTTTCAGCTGTAGTAATGTTTTAGAGGATACCATAAAAATTGTATTGTTCAAAATTGGATTTCTTTCAGATACTTCAGTTTCATCATTATTGTATTGTAAGTGTATTCTTATAGTAATTATATAACAATATTGATTACAGTGGAGATCATATAAAAAGGTAATGCCAATAAATTTCATAACTCTAATTCGAACCAATTACTTTCATTATTATCGCACTAAAATTTAATTTTCTGTAATCTTAAAATGAACAGAATATCATTAAATTTACTTGCTCTCAACTTCAAATTGAGTTTTTGTGGTGACACTTGAACTATTTGTCCAGCTGTTTCAGCTCCTTCAGATTTTCTCCATTGTCCACTTGTAGAAGTACTATCCGAATTGTTTTCAGAGAGATTATACGTTCTTTCCATATCGTCAACCATTTGAGCTCCTCCTTCATCATTGTTTTTACGCACCCTTGTTAATTCAAGAGCTTGAAGTGTTGTCAAAATATTGTCAGGATTCAAAATGTATTCTTCGGGGCATACCGAGTGGTTTTGTTGATAACAACGTGCGTTATCAGCAAATTTCTGTAAATGAAAAATTTCTCAACTTCAGTTTAGGTTTTGAATATGGTAAAAAGTACTGTTAAAGTGACAAAATTCAACCTGAACCATATAATGATAATGAATATTACGATCTTTATTTTTTATGATAAAAAAAAAATACAATCTTAATACAATTTCTTTCATAGCATAATTTCTTTGATAAAAATTGTAAGATTTCTATACCTAGGTACACGAATCACATAGAACGGTCTATTATACGTAATACCTATATCATAAAAGATCCATGAGTGCTGTCCAATCAGGTGACCATTGTTTTGATTCTGATCTGAAATGATGGAGCCACTGCTCAGAATTTGTTGTTGTTTTTGATCGATTGTGCTTGCACGACACTCACTTTGAACAGTGCTTTCGCATACCCAAAATATGCATGCACGATATGTCCAATACGTTCCTTTGATATCTTCAGAGCCTCTGCTATCTCGATCAACTTCACTTTGCGGTCATCCAAAATCATTTTGTGGACTTTTTTATGTTCTCATCGGTAACAGTTTATTTTAGGCCTTCACTGCGTGCATCGTCATCGGTGCTCATTTCACCTCGTTCAAACTATATATTTAAACTTAGCTACGGCTGATTTTCCTGGTGCAAAGTCCGAATAATGTTTATCAAGCCAAGCCTTGGCTTCAACAGTATTTTTTCCCGCCGAAAGGCAATGTTTCATCAACACACGAAATTCCTTTTTATCCATTTTTTCAAACTAAAAAAAGTTGTTCAACTACGAGTTGAACTGCAAACTAATAGTCGTTGGTTTCGAACAGGTTGGAGCCTGGCTCCCTTACCCTTACGATTAGCGTTTGTCAGAAGGACAAATGGGTCATGACTGAATGGTGGTGGCGGTATGAAACTCCACAGATATCAGTTCCGCCCTTCACCGTGTACCCTGTGGTGAGATGAATAAAAATTGTTCATCTGTTAACGGGGGACATGAGGGCCTCATTCGACAGTGTCGGGGCCTTCTATATCGGGAGGGGTCGTCTATTGCATAATCTATAGGTTTTCTTACGAATTATCGTGAGTTTCCACGCAATCAATCAAAAACTCGCTGATTCCTCGACTGAATGGACTGCTGAATGGAAGGCAGCTGCAAGTCTCTGCGGATGGCTTAATTCCGCACGACCAACGGAGCATTCACAATCATCCGTATTAACCTGGAACCTTTTTTATTCATATCGTACTATAACGATTTGAATGAATTCTTGAGAAGCGTTCATGTAACAATGTATGCAGACGACACGTCATTGATAATTTCATAAAAAAAAAACGAATTTAATATGCAAGAAGATAGAGAAAAGGCTCTAGAACTGATGCAAGACTGGTGCAATACAAATTTTCTGAATTTGAACGCTCATAAAACCCAAATTATACGATTTCATAACTATCAAAGAAAATGCGATCCTCTCAGAATTAACATGAGTGTTGATTTATCAATTGATGGTACAGATGAAACCCATTTTCTTGAACTTTTTGTTGATGAAAATGTAAGCTGGAAAGGTCACTGTACAATCTTGATAAAAACATTGAATTCTGTATGTTTCATGCCAAGGAATCTCAAACATATACTTGAAATACCTCAGCCAGTGACTCTATACCATGCACAGGTTGTGTCACGAATTATGTATGGAATATATTTGTGGGGAAATTCTACTTTGGTAAAAAATGTTTTTTCTATACGAAAAAGAATGATAGCTAATCTTTCAGCTTATTACTGTATGATATGATTAAGTGGATTTTGCCCAATTTTTCTTTACAAAATCAAATTGAATCAAAGTGCAGCTCGAAAAATTAACGAGGCATTTGGCAATGATGGTGTTCATGACTTTGATTTGCGAAATTTCGTTACGGAGATTTTAGCCTCGTAGACAAGCACTGAAGTGGTCGACCCACAGTAATCCAGGACGCGGATTTAAGTACCCTGGTGGAGACTGACCCATCAAAAACGGTGCGTAGGATGGTGGAAGAACTGGCTGTCAGCTTCCATGTGTTTTTGAAGATTCAAAACGTATTGGAAAGTCAAAAAAACTCGAAAAGTGGGTGCCCCACGATTTGAACGATCGAGTTCTGTTCTTCTTTGCTTTTGCACAACCAAAACAATCCATTTTGGCATTGGATCGTCACGTGTGATGAAAAGTGGATCCATTACGACAACAGGAGACGTTCCGGACAGTGGTTGGATGAGCCACTCTGACACTTCCAAAAAGCGAAAACCTACCAAAAGAGACCATGGATACTGTGTGGAGGTCATCAGCTAGTGCGATTCACTATAACTTTTTGCAACCGGGCCAAACCATCACAGCAGAGTTCTATTGTGAGGAAAACGTAATGTCATGAAGCTGAGCTGTTCAACTGACTCAATTTTTTCAAGCAGCACAGAAAAATCATTAAAGCCCTCTGAGAGTGGTGCTCGTGCAGAAGTAGCGATTCACTTTGGATTTGAATCGCTGGAGGTTAAATCCATTTGGAAAAACATTCTAAGGAAGTTTATTCCACATAAATGCAGTTCTTCAAATAAAAAAGTTCTTGAACAGTGAAGTTCGAGGTGTACTGAGTTGAACTTCAAAACTATGAGCAGCCACAGTCCAAAGCGAATTTCTGATATGTACCGCTCTTGGTGGAATCAATTATGCCAAGTTACTTGAACACTTCCCGTGAAATTATCTATATAAGAGAGACAAATCTCCAACCTTTCTTCGATGTTCCAGACTATCAAGGTTGTGAGTGATGTTCTTGTCTCCAGTCAGGCGTATGACTCTTTTCTAGATGGAATCCAGCAGCTTCGTGGTATGCTTAGAGGCGGAGCTCCATACATGAGAACAATACTCCAAAGAAGGTCTGATCTGAGCTTTATAAAGCATTAAAAGTTGCTGAGATCTGTACAGTTTTCTGGTTCGGAACAGTGTTCCAAGCTTTTGAGAAGCGGCTTTTGCAATTCCAGCGACATGATTGTTCCAAGACATATTGGTGTCCATTTCAACTCCCAAAAAAAGTATCGAAGCATAAGGTGGAATTGTCTGACCTGACATTATTATATCTGGTTAGGAGCAATTTATCTTTTTGGAGAAAACCGTTGCCTGGGCTTTTGTGGCATTGAATTGAACCTGGTTACTTTCACCCCAATTCGAAATTACTTCTAGAAACTCATTAATGTATGCAACCCTCTGCTGCCGGTGGAGATGTGTATCTGCCGCAGATGTCCTGGAATCCAAATGAAATGGACGAAACAAGTGTGCTGTCGTCAGCAAAGCAATATAATGGATTCTTGTTTTTTTACAATAAGTCGTTGATATACAATAGAAAGAGGGTTGGAAACAAAATATATCCCTGGGGAATACCAGCGTTGATGGTAAAAGTATAAGAGAGGTATCCGTCGATGGTGTGATTTTTTTGGTTTTATCAATTCCTAACTTAACTGATGAAGTAAACTCTCATTTAGATTATTTTCCTATAAGGATGTTCAATAATTTTCATGGTATTGTGTTGTATACAATTTTATCATTACCATAAAAGATTTTTTTTACAACCAAAAAATTTATTTTCAATACAAATCATGAAATTATAAAACAACAACAAACATTAATTAGCGTTCCGGGGCGACTTCATTGATTGCAGTGGCGCATTTGATTTTTCAGCTGTAGGAAAACCCGGAAAAACCTGCAGCACCACATCATCTGAAAATCTTTATCTGCCAATGTCCTCTCTCATAAAACAAAATGTAGGGTGTCTCCAGAGGCTCCAATAAATTCAATACATCGCCAGAACACTTCGTGACAGGACTATCGTCAAAATTAAACCAATCCATTTCGTCTTTGACCAAGGCGTAATAATGATCAGATTCAACGCCAGAACCACAGTGAACAATGACTACATGAAGATTATAGTAGTGGTCTGCCATATTGAAGTGTTCATCTATTTCAAACCTTCATAAGAGTTTGGTGCATCCGTCAGAGGTTGAGTCATGTTTAAGATCATCACTGTTATCATTAGATTGACTGATGCCTCAGATATACTTGTGTTCTTATAACAGTCAGTTAATTTGGCGCATGTTTGGCAATACAGTCGATCATCAGCTGTTAAAATTTCCATTTTCAGATGATTTAACAATATGCTTTGCCCGGACTGGTTATTAGTCATATTGGGAAACGCTAGTTGAAGTTTCACATATGTTTTTGCTACCTCTTGAACATTTACTACAAAATAAACAGATGAGCCAGCAAAAGATATACAAATACAAGATGAGATAGACTGTACGAAACCATTCAATCCAGAGCGGTCAGGAGTATTGATTCTACTATTTTTTGGCTCACGAAGAGTATTCAACAAGAACCCCAAGAATTCGGAACAATCCTCTTGTTGTCCTAACGAGTATCTAGTGGACTTCAAAGATTCCAGGAAATCGGTTGGTGGGAAAGATGATATATTCTTACGAAACAGCAGCTGCATGAACAGGTGTTTGAGTTTGGTGAATAAGTAGAAAACATTCTCGTTCTCGTTCATCGTTAAAACCTCGTTCTTGAAATTCTTCGTCATAAACAACAGTTGTAAAATGCTATTCATGTAGGAAGTGTTTCCTAAATTATCTAATCTAATTTTCTTCTCAATATTTTCAGGACAACTCTCTACTGATTCGTGATAAAGAACATGTTTCACAGGATCTGCATAAGAACTATTTCTCAAGCTACAATCGATACTTCCAAGTGATGAAGGGTTTCGTAGAGGGATCAATTCGGCTCTTGCTTCATGAAGCTCTTCCATTGAAAGTGAACCAGAACCAGAACGAGGACTACAACTCATATTTGGAAGGCAAGAATGACCATTGTCCATTGTCCAAGTCCATTGTGATGGATGAATTCAGAAATCTGTATCATCACCGAATATAACATGAGTTGTAATTTACTTTAAAAATTGTGAGATCACTGCGAAAATTGCAATAAAGAAACCTAAAGATTCAACATTCATTAAAATCTGTTCTTATTATGAAGTTAGTCACCTGAAAATCTATTCTTGTGACTCACCCAGAAATTCCGATTCAGATTTTATTATAAAATTTTAATGTTGAAGAAAATATATTTTCATTATTTTTCTACAACTAATGAACTGCGTGGTATTCATCATTTTCAGGCAGTGCTCTTCAGTTCACGTATATAAGAAAAGAAGTTTTTCACTAGAAAAAATCCGTGAAAAAATGTTATAAAATTTTGATTTACTGAATATTACAATTAATAATTTTATTCAAATAATTGTTCGATAATGAAATTACAAAACATGTCCTTCAACTGAGTCTTCATTGAAAATGAAGATTTTTGAATGGATCAGATTTTGACATCATGCTTTTATCAATGAATAATTTTAAAATTTTCAATGTATTGATATCCGAAACTTTAATTCGAAACAAGTTTTGATA